CTGGCCGGGTGCGCAGGGCAGTCCTGGGTGTACAGGAGGTAGGCACACGGGAGGCGTGAAGGAGAGGGGCAGATGAGCAAGTGCAGCCCTCCTGACTCTTCTGCCTTGCCTCACGCTGCTCTCCCTTTGCTCTGAACTCCTCCGGTTCTGGAAGACACTAAAAGGTGGCACAATGTCCCCCCCCCCCAAAAAAATATGCCACATTGGTATAGGGATTTTTTTTTTTTTTTGAGCTAAAGGCACTTGAAAAAAACAGCAGATGCAAGAAGGGCATTCTAATCTCCCTTTGCTTACTGAAAACAGGAGATTAAAAACTCCCAGGTGAAAGATGCCCTCCCTGAACCTGGAGAAAAGAAACATTCTTCAACAGGGAGCTGAAGCCAAGAGAATTCTGTACAAACAGACAACTGTGTACAAACAGGCCTTATCTTCCTTTAGCCTCCCACATAGTTAACTCTTCCACAACTGACATTCCTTCTTCAGCCTACTATAAAAGCATGTAGGTTCTACCGTTTCTGGGGGTTTTCATTTCCTTTTGAGGGCTCTCATGTTATGTAAATCTTATACAAATTTGTGTACTTTTCTCCTCTTAATCTGTTTTATGTTGGTTTAATTCTCAGGCCCAGCCAAAAAACATTAAGAGGCCCAGCTCTACAAACCCTATAGTACCCTGTTCTGCTATACTCAGGGCCCTCATCTGTACCACTCCCTCTGTCTGAAATGGGCTTTTCCCCACCAACACACACACACACACACACACACACACACACACACACTTTTGCCTGGCTGACTCCCATTCGTTCCTCAGCTCTCAGGTGAAAGGTCACTTCTTCCTCTGGGAAGTCACTGCTCACCTTCTACACTAGGGGCCCCCTCTGCCCACTCTATACCACTCACCTCCTTGTCCTTCTTCCCCCCATGTTCTCATCATAAATAGTAATTACTGGCTGAATGTCTGTCTCCTCTGTAGACTGTAAGATCTAAGAGGAGAAGGACTGGGTCTGCTCTGGCCTCTGACATCAGTGTCTGGTACAGAGGCCAACATGTGTTAAATTCGTAATTGTACAAATGACTGAATAAAGAGATCCTGGATTGACCTTTCAGGAACTTCAACATTAAAAAATTGAGTACTGGGCTTCCCTGGTGGCGCAGTGGTTGAGAGTCCGCCTGCCGACGCAGGGGACACGGGTTCGTGCCCCCGTTCGGGAGGATCCCACATGCCGCGGAGCGGCTGGGCCCGTGAGCCATGGCTGCTGAGCCTGCGCGTCCGGAGCCTGTGCTCCGCAACGGGAGAGGCCACAACAGTGAGAGGCCCATGTACCGAAAAAAAAAAAAAAAAAAAAAAAAATTGAGTACTCTCATAGAGAACAGACTTGTGGTTGCCAAGGGGGAGGAGGGGGAGGGGGAGGGATGGATTGGGAGTTTGGGGTTAGCAGATGCAAACTATTATATATAGAATGGATAAACAAGGCCCTACTTTATAGCACAGGGAAATATATTAAATATTCTGTGATAAAACATAATGGAAAAGAATAGGAAAAAGAATATATATATACACACACACACACATATATCTGAATCACTTTGCTGTACAGTAGAAATTAACATTGTAAATCAACTATACTTCAATAATTTTTTTAAAAAATTGAGTAGTCTCTTAGTAGTATTTTTCCCATCATACCTCACTCTTCAAATGAAAATTTTTACCTATTCTCACCTTGCTCAAATGCTTCCATCTATGAGCTGCCATCTGTAATCCTATAGTACTTCATGTTCTTACTTTACTATGACCTCACGTTATCATTTACTTGTATTAGGCTGTAAGCACCTTGAAGACAGGGGCTGTTACATAACTTATAACTCCCACAATTTATTATATATCATAGTTGTTCAATAGATATGTAAGGGGTTTTCTTCATAGCCAATACTTGGTTTTTATTTTCAGTCTTCTTAGTTTTAGTCGTTGTACTGGGTGCTATGCTTTTCTTAAACTCTTATTTATTTGATACTAATAAAATTAAACATCTTTTCATGTGCTTATTGGCCATTTGTATGTCTTCTTTCTTTCATGGAGTTACCTTTTTGTAAGAGTTGGGGCTTTTTTTGTGTGCGTGTGGTACGCGGGCCTCTCACTGTTGTGGCCTCTCCCATTGCGGAGAACAGGCTCCGGACGCGCAGGCTCAGCGGCCATGGCTCACAGGCCCAGCCGCTCCGCAGCATGTGGGATCTTCCCGGACCGGGGCACGAACCCGTGTCCCCTGCATTGGCAGGCGGACTCTCAACCACTGTGCCACCAGGGAAGCCCGAGTTGGGGCTTTTTAATTGAAATATAATTGACATATTAGTTTCAGATGTACAACAAAATTCGATATTTGTATACATTGTGAGATAATCACCACAGTAAGTCTAGTTAAGATCCATCACCACACATAGTTACATTTTTTTGTATGTGATGGGAATGGTTCTTTTTAAAGTAATTTTACTTTATTTATTTTATTTTTGGCTGCATTGGGTCTTCGTTGCTGCGCACAGGCTTTCTCTCTAGTTGCGGCAAGCGAGGGCTACTCTTCGTTGCGGTGCATGGGCTTCTCATTGCAGTGGCTTCTCTGTTGTGGAGCACCGGCTCTAGGCACATGGGCTTCAGTAGTTGCGGTACACAGGCTCAGTAGTTGTGGCTCACGGGCTCTAGAGCGCAGGCTCAGTAGTTGTGGTGCACGTACTTAGTTGCTCCACAGCATGTGGGATCTTCCCGGATCAGGGCTCAAACCCGTGTCCCCTGCATTGGCAGGTGGATTCTTAACCACTGCGCCACCAGGGAAGTCCTGTGATGGGAACTTTTAAGATGTACTCTCTTAGCAACTTTCAAATATACAATATTGTTAACTAAAGTCACATGCTGTACATTACATTCCCAGGACTTACTTGTTATAGATATATGTTGAATAAATGAATTAACAATTTTAAAATTGGGTAGAAGAAAACCTAGAAAAGTGCAGAGGCATCATCTGAGAGGTAGGAGGAAGACCAGGAGAACATTGGGCCACAAGGCAGATATATGTTACTACACATCTGTCAAAACCCACTGGATGTACAACACTAAGTGTGAACCCTAATGTAAACTATGGATGTTGGGTGATAATGACGTTTCCATGTAGGTTAATCTTTTGTAACAAATATCCCACTCTGGTGGGGACGTTAATAGTGGGGGAGACCATGCATGTGCAGTGGGCAGGGGATTTATGGGAAATCTCCGCATTTTCCACTCCATTTTCCTGTGAACCTAAACTGCTCTGAAAAAACTAAATCTATTAAAAAAAAAAAAAAGCCAAGGCAGAAAATGTTCAAGGAAGAGCATGTGTATTGTCAGCAGAGTTAACCGTTGCGGAGCCTGGGCCCAGGATGGAAACATGTCCCTTGGTTAGTGATGTGGTTACATTGGTCACTTTGGTGAGAATGGTTTCTGCTGAGTGACGGGGTGGGAGCTAGATTGGAGAAGGCTTAAGTGAATGCAAGGCAAGAAAGTGATTGAGTACAGAAAACCCTTTCAAGAAGCTTGACTGTTGCGGGTGAAAGAATATCACACGGGTAGGGCAAACGTTATTCTCTTGCCAAAGGGGACGGAATGTGAGTGTGCTCAAGCCTCTGGATTAGTTGCTAAATCCTGTGACAGAGGAACCTGGTCACTTGCCCCATGAGTGTCCAATCAGTGAATTCCACGCTGCAGGACATCTTACAGGTCAAATGCCCCAGGTTCTTTAATAAATAACTTCTGGTTTTTTCCTTATTGTTATTATTATCATTATTTTTTATTTTTATTTTTTGGCTGCATCGGGTCTTAGCTGTGGCACCCGGGATCTTCATTGTGGCGCGGGCTCTTCGTCGTGGTGCATGGACTTCTCTCTAGTTGTGGCGCGAGGGTTTTCTCTCAAGTTGTGGCGCGAAGGCTCCAGGGTGTGTGGGCTCTGTAGTTTGGGGCACACAGGCTCTCTGGTTGAGGCTTGCAAGCTCAGTAGTTGTGGCATGCTGGCTTAGTTGCCCCGTGGCATGTGGGATCTTAGTTCCCCGACCAGGGATTGAACCCACGTCACCCGAATTGGAAGGCGGATTCTTTACCACTGGACCACCAGGGAAGTCCCAACAAACAACTTTTGAGGGAAAGACAGGACTAAAGGCAGAACCTGAGGATTTTAGCAAGCTTTTAAAAGACACATCACTTTTTTTTTTTTTTTTTTTTCCTCTTGCAGTACGCGGGCCTCTCACTGCTGTGGCCTCTCCCGTTGTGGAGCACAGGCTCCGGACACGCAGGCTCAGCGGCCACGGCTCACAGGCCCGGCCGCTCCGCGGCATGTGGGATCTTCCCGGACCGGGGCACGAACCTGTGTCCCCTGCATTGGCAGGCGGACTCTCAACCACTGCGCCACCAGGGAAGCCCAGACACATCACTATTTTTGAAAATTAGCAAGTCTAAACTCTGAAGTCTAGAGATGCACATCTGTGTGATAAAACTAAAGAAATGCATGGAAGTGATCACCATAAAAGTCAAGAGAGTTGTTGCTTTTGGGGGAAGGAGGGAACAATGAACGAGTCAGAGCACACGAGGAGGTTTCTGGGTGGTGATATTATTATAACTCATTCAGCTCAAGAGGAAGAAGTCCAGCTATGGAGAAGAGAATAATGGAGAGATACGCGAAATTGAAGAAGGGGTGTGTGGGGTGTGTGTGTCTCACAATGGCAGAAGCAGGCAGGAACCACTGTGGCAGTCATTCTTGTCCCTCTCCCCATGTTGCTCCAAGGTTCACAAGCCCTTCTACTTCTTCTGTGAGGCAGAAAGGGCAAGAGTTATTCTCCCCATTTTATGGTTGGGAAAACTGAGGCCTGGGTGTGTGAGACTTGCCCCAAGTTACACTGCTCATCGAGGGTAGAGGCTGCCCAGATCCCAGGCCCCAGCCCAGGAGTGAGCAGGGCAGCTGGCTCACCCAAGGTTGCCCTGTCCCCTGCAGGAATCACTGAGATTTTGATGAACAGACCAAGCGCCCGCAATGCCCTGGGGAACGTCTTCGTTAGTGAGGTGAGAAAGGGTGGGCACGAGGGTGGGCTGGGGCTGGGTTGGGAGGTATCTGATGGAGTCTCCTCTGCAGCTGCTGGAAGCTCTGGCCCAGCTGCGGGAGGACCGGCAAGTGCGAGTCCTGATCTTCAGAAGTGGAGTGAAGGGTGTATTCTGTGCAGGTGGGTTTCCTTTCCAGCCCCTACCTGGCGGCTCAGCAGGGCTCCCCCCGGCCTGCAGGGCATTTGTGGGGGGTGGGGTCCTTAGGTCAGCTCCAGCACAGGACTCATTATTCCCATTTTAGAGATGTGAACTCAGCGGTAAAATTCCTTGCCTAGGGTTACACAGATAGTAAGAATTCAGTTTGAACTTCGCCTCTCTGACCCCCAAATCCTTGTTCTTCCTGCTGCACCATGCACTGTTCTGACCCTTCACTGAGGAAATGAGGAAGCTGAGTCCAAAGACATTCACAAGGTCTGCGGCCAAGATGCGACTCTGTGCCCCTTTGCCCACCTACAAGATCTCAGTCCATCAAAAAAACTCTTCAATGTCTCTGCACCATTTAGTCCTTGCCACGCACTTCATTTCAAAGATGAGAAATGCCGCATCCCAGGCCCACAACAAGCAAATGAATGAGAGCTGAGCTGAGCTAAGAACTGGCACTGGGGAGGTGGGAAGAGGCTGTGGAAGGCTAGGGTGGGAGGAGCGTGATGCTTAGGAGTTTTCAAGGAGTTATGGCTCAGTCCCTAGGTCTCAGCTGTCCAGATCACGGCGACCAGCTCGGGGTCTGCCATGGCAGGATAAGTATGTGCACCAGTCTGCCTGACCCCGCTGCCCTGGCTGAGGCCCTCCTCCTCCCCTGGCCTCTTCCTCTGGCTCCACCTCTGTCTGACCTCTTCTATCATGGTCACTTCATGCCCCTGTTAGCCCCACTCCTCACTATCCCAGCTAAGGACAGGGAAGTAGGGGGGCTGCAGGTCTGAATCTGCCCCTGACTTGCTCTGGAACCCTGCGCTAGTCCCTGTCCCTCTCTGGGCCTCAGGTTCCCCATCTCTCACTGAGGGGCTGGAACTAATCAAAGACTTCCAAGGGCTCTCCCAACTGACTTTTGGATAATCTAAGCCTTGCGAAGACTGTATTCACCCCTTACTCCCGCCTCAGGCCCCTGCCATCTGGCCTTTGATGACGCCTCCATTGTCACTACGCTCACCAAGGTCCCTGCCCACCTCCATGCCACTGGGCCCTGCACTCACTTCTCAGTTCTCATCTTACTTGACCTCTCAGCCTCCTTGGACCCCACCAACCCCTTCTGTTAAAAAAAATTATATACAGTGATGTATGTCAATTATTTCTCAATAAAACTGGAAAAAATAACTAACAAATTTTTATTTTATTACTATTTAACATAGTTTTTGAATTGTCAAATATATATATTACACAAAAATTTACACTTTAATCATTTTTAAGTGTAAAATTCAGTGGCATTAAGTATATTCAAAAGGTTATTCAACAATTACCACTGTCCATTTCCAGAAAATTTTCATCATCCCAAATAAACTTTATACCCATTAAGCAATTCCTCCCCATTCGCCCAACCCCCGGTAACCTCTGTTCTACTTTCTATCTTTACGAATTTGCCTATTCTAGGTACCTCATACAAGTGGAATCATATATTTGTCCTTTCATGTCTGGCTTATTTCACTTAGCATAATGTCCTTCATGTTCATCCATGTTGTAGCACATTGCAGAATTTCTATCCTTTTTAAAAATGAATATTCTATCTTATATATATATAAATTTTATATATATTTATTTTCCACATTTATTTTGTTTATCCATCTGTTGATAGACCTGGGTTTGTTTATACCTTTAGGCTTTTGTGATTAATACTGCTATGAACATTGGTGTGCAAGTCATCTGTGTGAGTCCTTGCCTGCAGTTCTTTGGGGTATACACTTAGGAATAGAATTGCTGGACCATACAGTAATCCTATGTTTAACTTTTTGAGGAGCCACCACAATATTTTTCACAACAGCTGCATCACTTTGCATTCCCACTAGCAATGCATCAGTGTTCTCCACATCCATGCCAACACTTCTTTGTTTTTGTTGTTGTTGCTTATAATCGCCATCCTAATGGGTGTAAAGGGGTATCTCATTGTGGTTTTTATTTGCATTTCCCTAATGACTAATCATGTTGAGCATCTTTTCCTGTGCTTGCTGACTTATTGTCTTTGGAGAAATATCTATTCAAGTCCTTTGTCCTTTGTGGGTTTTGTTTTTGGTTTTGTTTTTAGTTGTAGGAAGGCTTTATATATCCTAGATATCAATTCCTCACCAGTTATATGATTTGCCAATATTTTCTTCCATTCGTGGGTTGTCTTTGCTCTCTTGATAGTGTCCTTTGATGCACAAAAGTTTTTAATTTTGATGAAATCCAGTCTATCTTTTTGTTGTTGTTGCACCTCTCCTTTTTTTGACCACCACTGCTCCCTGCCCCCGGCTTCCCTAACCATGTTTTCCCGGTGTTTCTCTTTCCTCTCTGGCTGCTTCTCTTCAGATTTCCTTTGCTGGATCCTTTGACAGCCTGGGAGGCAGTAACGGGCTGTCACCCTTGCATCTGCAGGTGCAGACCTGAAGGAGCGGGAGCAGATGAGTGAGGCGGAGGTGGGGGTCTTTGTCCAGCGGCTCCGAGGCCTGATGAATGAGATTGGTGAGGGTCCTGGAGTGCGGAGGAGGAGGGCATTCCGGGGGCCCTGCTGGTCCCAGCCTCACCCCACCCACCACTCTAAAGACAGAACAGTTTCTGTTGTGAGCTCTGTGGAGAGACAGATGATTGGGGGGGGAGGGGCAGGGGCAGGGAACAAGGAATTCTACAAGGGGAAGGGTGTGACGAGGGTTCAGAGGGCATTTCTCCCAGTGGGAGCCCTGTCTTCTTAGCCTTTGTGCCCTGCTGGTTATGACCCCCAACCCCTGTGCCCTCAGGGTGCAAGCCTGGCCTTTTCAGAGTCAGGTTTCACCAAGCATGCTTTCAGGCTTTGACAATGGCTGTCCTTTTGCCTGGAATATCCCTCCTTGGCCATTTGAACTTTCTACTCGTTCTTTAAGACCACCAGTGCCTCCTCCTCCAGGAAGCTGTCCCTGATCCATCCTCCAAGCTTCCTTTATCAGAGCACTGATTCCCTGGGTCATCATTGCCTGTTTACAGGTCTGCCTTCCCCACATCTGATTCAGTTGTGTTCCCAGCACTCAGTATGGGGCTTGACACACAGAATGAGAAGGGAGTGCGAAAAGGCTGGTCCCAGGGAGGCCAGCAGGAGATTACCCTGCCCATCTCCCCACTCCCGATCCCCAGCTGATCGCACAACTCTCCCCAGTGGGAAAAACAACTTCTAAGGTAACCTGGCTGAGGTACCAGGTAAGGTCCCCAAACCTGGGACCAATGAAGCCCTCTGTCCCAACCAGTTAGCTCCTCCCCTCCCTGAGACACTGTCCTGGTCCTGCCAGGGCCTCGCAGGCTGAGCCGTTCTTCATCTCCACAGCAGCCTTCCCTGCGCCCACCATTGCAGCTATGGATGGGTTTGCCTTAGGCGGAGGCCTGGAACTCGCCCTGGCCTGTGACCTCCGAGTGGCAGGTACTGGGCACGGGGAGAGGTGGGGTAGGGTGGGGAAGGAAGAGTGAAACAGGCTAATTCTGGGGATTCTGCAGTCAGCCACTGCTCTTGGCTTTCCAAGCAGCCACAGAACTAAAGGCAAGGCGGGGGACAGAGAGTTCAGGCAGCAGCTGGTTCCCCTCCCGGCCTGGCCCGACTGCGGCAGTACCCATCCTTCTCAGTCAGCTGCCCTCCGCTCAGGACTGCTCCCACCAACCCCAGAGCAACTGCTAACATGACAGCAAAAAGACCACAGAGAGGGAAGGCTGGGGACAAAGACTAACTGTTCAACCTTCCAGTTCTGTCCAGGCCAGCTTTTTCAATCACGTTTTGAGCAAAGGTGAGCCGTGGGGGCAGTCTGTCACCTGCCCAGCTAGTCACAAACATGCCTGGGCAAGAACACTGCCCTCTGGTTCACTGGCACCCAAAAAGGTTTGCGTTACTAGTTCAGAGAAACTGAGCTTTGAAGAGTGGAGGGAGGGGAGGACGAAGATAATCGATCGCTTTGTAACCTTCCTGTCTTGGTGGTTAGGTGCGCCCCTCTGGGAGGTAATCAAGAGAAAGTCTGAGTGCCGTCACGGTGCTACTCTCTTCCCCTCATTGCTTTCTCCCGCCATCCAGGAAGAACATTTTTTAAAAATGTGTAACCCCAGGCATAGAGGGAGCTTATATCTACAAGATGCGTATCAAAGAGAAGGCATCAAAATACCAGGTCAGGTCACAGCCCCGGATCAGCTTCTCACCTGCCTATGTTTAGGGCAACTAACGTGCAGGGTTTGGTGGATAGGAGGGTGAACATCAACTCCTCCCTCCCGTACTGCATGGTTCCGGTGGCCTGTGCTGAGGGAATTCAGAAGCCTGTGTGGTGGGACACCTCAAGAAGGGCTCGTCAGAGGAAGCAGAACTGGGGAAAGAGGATGTGGACCTGAATACAGGAAATTTTCAGGCTGACAAAAAGCTGGGAAAAATAACTGGTGGGAGCAGGAGTCAGCGACACTCTAGGCCAAACCTGAGCTAAGGATGCGTGAGACAGAGAATCCATTAACTTACAAATAGGTGTTGGGCACCTTCTAGGAACCCCTTCCTTGTTCCAAGCACCATTACCTCACTTGATCCTTAGCAGCTCTCTGGAGTAGGCAGAAGAGGGGTAGTCGTCTTCTTCCCACCCATGAGGCTCAGAAAGGGTAAGAGACTTGCCTGGTTGAGTAGGGGAGGTAGGATGAGTGCCTGGGCCTGCTGGCTTCCAGGCTAGGGCTCTTCCAAAGGCAGCATCTGGGGGAGTCTGGCTGCGGCCACACCACGAGGAAAGTGGCTGGCTGGAGGAGTGAGCAGAGCCCACAGGCGGCATCTCTTCTCCTTGGGGATCGGCGCTGGAAGGCAGGGCTGGGGCTTCACTCTGTTTTGTTTAAGCAGCTTCCTCAGCTGTCATGGGGCTGATTGAGACCACCCGAGGACTCCTCCCAGGAGCAGGTAACCTCAACCCACAGCATCCATCCTTCTTTACCTGTTTAACTCCAGTCTATCCAGCATAATTCCCTACTTTCCTCTTTTGCCCTATGTTCTGGGCTCTGCCCTGCCAACCTAACTCAGTTTGCTCTTTTGAGAGGTCTTGGCTGACTCCCAGCCTGGGCCTTCTCTGGCCTCCCACTTCCCATGCAGATTCACCACCCCTATTCCATCCTGGCAGGAGGGACTCAGAGGCTGCCTCGATGCCTGGGGGTGGCCCTGGCGAAGGAGCTCATCTTCACAGGCCGACGACTGAGCGGGTCACAGGCCCAGGCTCTGGGGCTGGTGAACCATGCTGTGGCCCAGAATGAGGAGGGCAACGCCGCCTACCACCGGGCACGAGCACTGGCCCAGGAGATCCTGCCCCAGGTTTGGTGATCACCCAGCACAGGAGGGCCTGTGCCATACGGGATGCACGTGTGGAGAGGCCAGGGGGCAACATAAGATCCATTTACCCAGATTTATAAAATTAACCCTCTTTGGAGTTTTAGCATCCATTCAGCCATCCAGTAAATGAAATCAGATTTTAAGTTAAAATGAAAATTAAGTTCTGAGGGACTGGAATCAAATAGGCTTGAAAATCCTCAGAACAGCACAGTAAAACAGAACTTCCTGAGATGATGTAAACATCCTCTACCTGTGCTGTCCACTAAGGCAGCCACTAGCCACATTATTTAAATTAAAATTAAAATTTTAGTTTCTCAGTTACACTTGCCACATTTCAAATGCCAATAGCCACATGTGGTTACTGGCTACTGTATTGGACAGTACTGCATTAAAATGTCCCCAAAATTGAAAAAGCAAGATTCTAAAGCAGATAAAGAACTACCAGCTCAACTTCCCGACCATACTACATGGTAGAAAAGTGCTTGAAATACATGATGTAGGACATGTTAAGCTCCATTCATTTTTTAAAATCCTCAAATAGCCTATGAGCATAGTCTCCCAAGAGGTTTAGAGACCCAGGGAGTAGGTTTAGGCCCTGCCTACATGTAATCTCCAAGTACCTGAGAGGCTCTGCTGGCTTCTCACTCCTCTAAGAGGACCCAGAGGGAGGTCCCAAGTTTCTGCAGATATGTAAGCAGCTGAAATGGAGCTAGGTTCTGCTAATTTATAATACTGACTGAGCCCATACGGAGCATCTCATCCATCCGACACAATCCAAGGTACTTTAATAGTGTCCCAACTATTAGAACAATCCAGTTGAGCTGATTACCCCCATTGTATCTATGCTATAACAGCCCCAGAAAGGTTAAGTGACCGTTCATCAAGGTCAAAGAAAGTGACTGCAATACCAGAAAGAAAAACAGTAACTGGTATTTTGGCATTAATGCTGCATAATTAAAAAACTGGTATTTTATTTTAAAGAGTGCAGAATGTGTACGATTTTTTTAAAAAAACAAACTAAATAATGCATTTCAAATACAAAAAATTACAGACGTTACAAAACGAAGTTAAAATATAAGCCTATAAAACTGTTACCCATACTCTATCATTTTAATATTATTAACAGAGAAAAGTATTTGAATTAATCATGAAGAGTAAAAAAGAGGTATTTTATTTTGGAAAAAAACCACTGTCTTCCTTAAATAATCCTGCCTCTTTTTATAACTTTGAGGTCTTTTTTGAGGGCAGGGACTATAAAAAACTGATAGTGAATTTGGTTTAAAAGAAAGCATTTCTTTTGTCTTCTTTTTATTGATAGTTTCATCACATATAAATGGAGAGTCTGATGCTGTTAATTTTAATGCTGTCATGTTTCTGTTATAGTTGGTCAGAAAGTCTCTGAACTAATACAAAACTCTGAATGACTCAGGATAGTAGCTAATTACACTTCCACAGAGGGGGCCTATCCAGCAAGACTTGAAGACTACAGGGCTTATCTTTCTGCATAAACTAAATAACTGGGTCTCTGAGCTTATCTCAAGATGATTCAGGCTTCAGATTTTTCAGTGTATTGAAATAACGGTATTCTACTAATATAATTAATAGTATTTCAGTATTTAAAAGCAGCTTTGTATACCAAAACACGAGCATACCAAAAATTAGTACTAAAATCACTAATGCAAATGCTAGGACATTTTGATGCAACCTGAAAAATGAATCTTTAACTTCCAGCTGAGTAACTGGGTGCCAAGGATGAAAGGGTTCTTGGATGGGGTGAGCACAAAGGGTGGTGTGGTAGATGGCTGCCCTCTAGCGGACAAACTACTAAGACTAAGGAGTCAAGTGGCTGCAGAGATTAGAGCCCAGAAAAAACTGTCAATAAACACAAGGTCCACAACTTAACACTCAGATCTTCCCTTTAAATAATAAACATACCTTATCCTTTGAATATGGATTTGGCTACGTTTTCTACTTGAACAAAGGGATGGAACATACTGTGGCCAGTGTGACTCAGTGTTCTCATTTCCAAATAACATAAAATGATCAATCGTATTTCTAATAATTCATACACGCGCGCACACACACACACACACACACACACACACAGTGCACCCTTGAACAACACAGGTTTGAACTGTGCAGGTTCACTTATACATGGATTTTTTTCAGCTAAATACATACTACAGTACTGCACGATCTGAGGTTGGTTGAGTTCGCGGATGCAGAACTCTATAGGGAGGGCTGGCTGTAGTTATACGCAGATTTTCCACTGCATGGATAGTCGGTACCCATAACCCCTGGGCTGTTCAAGGGTCAACTACATATATATATGTATATATATATATACACATACACACACACATACATACACACACACTCAGAAACATAAATGTGTGTTTTCAACACAGTACAACATAGCTATGTAGTTTTTAATGTTCTGTGATGAGAAATCCGTAGTTAAATAACATATATTCATGACAAGCAAATCAAACAGAACAGAAGAATAAGAAGGACATAAAGTAAAAATCAAAAGTAGGGTGACCCTGTTTACCTGGGGCTGTCCAGGTTCAACGTGAAAGTCCCATGTCCTAATAACCCTTCAGTCACTGGCAAACCGGGAGAGCTGGTCACCAAAACATCGCTCAACTCCCCAATCCCTCTCCCCAGAGATGACCACTGTTACAGTTTGCACACTCTTCATTGTATGTACAATATAAATTATGCACATGTACTCATATCTAAATGACTCTAAATTCTTGTTAAGATGGTTTAGGGAACACAAGGAACACACCTTCAGAGGCGAATCCAATTCTAACAGACATTTAAAAAACAGGAAATTAAAATATGCATAGAAAAGAATGCAAACAGTATGGAAAAGTATAAAACAAAAAAGTGAAGTTCTCTATTCTCTTGACCCTTCTCCCCAAAGGCACATCATACCAACACCTTTTACACAAATGGAATAATATACAAACCAGTATGCACCTTTCTTTTTTACCTACTACCTTGGAGAGTTTCCCATTCCAGCACATACTTATCAACCCCATTCTTTTAAACAGCTGCACACTTTTTCATTCATGGTATGGATGTGCCCTCATTTAACCAGTACTCTAATGAGGAACATCACGTTGCTTACATCTTTATGCTCCTGAAAAATAGCCGGAGTGGATAACTTTGTACATCTTAGTGTACTTCTGGAAGTAGATGCCTACATGGAGGTACAACATGAAAGAGCATGTGCATCTAATTTGCCAGTTCTTGTCAAACTGCCTTCCCGAAGCATTGTACCAATTTACTCTCCTATCAATTATGTATGCAAATACCTGTTTCCTAAACCTCAGCTATAATGGGCATTACCAACACTTTACAATTTACCTAGTCTGAGGTGAAAAGGAGCACCTCACTGTTCTCATTTACGTTTCTTTAAAACAGTCTGAAGTCCTTCATTTTTATGTAGCTAGCTTTTTTATTTATGGCTTCTATGCTAACAGACTTTTTAAATCATTCTTTTTATGATAAAGAAAAACTTCAAATAATACAAATACAAAAACTTCAAATAATATAGGAGGCAAAAGCACTCCTTGCCTGGAAGTGGGGCTGGGGATGGAGTGCCAGGCCTGCCGTGGCACAGCTAACTGGAAGCAAGGCCGGTGAGGCAAAGACGGCCACTTGGATGCTCTTGCAAAACGCCCCCTCAGGGTTCCAACCCAGGCCTGTCAGACTCCAAAGCCCAAGTTCCTAATCTTGACCGTTTTTCACCCTATTGGGGGAAAACTTGCTCGCAGGAGAGGCTTGAGATGAGACAGGTAGAGGAAGGGAGCAGCAGTGGGAAAGGTGACTGGGAATCAGATCTAAGCTTCACCACTGACTCACTGGACAAACGTGGCCAAGTGCTTCACCACCCTGAGCCTCGATTAAACATGGCACCATCCTGAAAGGATGGGCAGCACCATTTGACCATTAGAGAAGTCTGTGGGTGGGAAAGTATTTGGAAAATGTTGTACATGCTGGAGGGATGGATTAAATGACAAGAACCCCGATGGTCACGATTGGGAGGGTCAGGGATCAGTTAGGCTTCCTCCATTATAGAAAAGGAACATCTGCTGAGAAGTAGCAGGTACTAAAACTAACGAAACTTAACACTGTCAGTAGAACAGCTGGATCTCTGTGCAGACCTCTTCCCCACCGTGCAGCTGTGTGCCTAACCATGAGCACTGATCCCCTCCTCAACCAAGCTGCTTCTTTTCCCTAGGCCCCCACTGCTGTGCGGCTGGGCAAAGTAGCCATTGACCGAGGAACAGAGGTGAGAGGGTTTTGGGTTGGAACCTGGGCCCCACTAAAGTCAGTGGGGCGGCTGGGAGGTGGTGCTTTCATGGCAAACAGATGGACAGCACAGCTGGAAAGAGCTCGGGAACTGGACTCTTCTAACAGACTTTGAGGCTGACCTCTCTCTTTGTGCCTTGCTTTTACCTACCTACAAAATCAAGTTTGGCCAGGTGATATTCCAAATGACATTTTATCCTCATCTCTCGCCCTTGGAGAGAGAAGGAAATGGAGGTTCAGAAAGGGTAAGACTTATCCAGGGTCCCGGAACAAGGGAATAACAAGAACCCAGGTCTGCGTGGCTCCCAGTCCATGTTCTCGGGTTTGTGTTGGTCAGTAATGTGGCCTCGTGGACCGGGCTCAGGTGTGGGGCCTTGGCTGCAGCTAACCCATCCTAGACATCAGCTCATTCATTCATCACACACTGAACCTAGACCTGAACTGGGACACAGAAATGAGTCAAATATGGTCACTGCCCCCAAGGTGGGGAGGGGGACGGACACAAATCACTAATGAAGGGTCAAGGGTACCAAGCAGACACCCTGGAGAGGTTAGAGCTGCACTGTCCATGTGGCTACTGGCTACGGTATTGGACAGTGCTGAGTTGGAGAATGTTTTCTAGAACTGGGGCTTAGGGTGGATGAGACTTCCAAAAAATAGGGACAAGTGTGAGGAAAAACAGAGGTGTATAAATAAGCAACTTGACAGAACAGGACGAAGGGACGAGTGAGACAACATAGCATGGAGGTTAGGGGCATAGGCTCTGGTGCTGGACCATCTGGGTTCAAAGACCTGCTTTTCCACATACTGTTGTGCCCTTAGACAACTCATTCCACCTTTCTATGCCTCAGATTCTTCAGCTGTATAGTAGGGAAAATAACCCCTGTTGGGAAAGGTACTTCTCTTAGTGCTTGTAAGTGGTAGTAATAGCAAGTACTGTGCAGTATAGGCTGGGAAGTTGCCAGGGGCCAAGTCATAAAGGCCTTAGTCCTCAGGGCAATGGGAAGCCAGCACAGTTCACTAATAGGGGTGACAGGAGGCATGGGGAGGCAGCCAGACGGCAAGGAGGGAACACTGGCTGTGCAAGCACAGCTCAGGCACACCCTCCTCAGCTCTACAGGCTATGTGTCATCCTCCCCGCTGTTCTCAGCCCGCATTCGTCCCAGCACTGTTTCACCACTGTTAGGAATGGTATTCCCTCTCCAGGTAGGGGATTCCTTATCATCTCATCTCTCTTCATATGGGCTGGCATACAGTAAGCCTCAATAATTCTTTGCTGGAAGAATCCATAATCAGTAAGAAGTGGTGTAGGAAGTAGGACTAGCTGGCGCCCAGTGCTGATGGGGATGGGCAAGGTCAGGGTGATCCACGCACAACTTCTTTCTTGCAGGTGGACATTGCATCAGGGATGGCCATTGAAGGGATATGCTATGCCCAGGTATGTGTCTGCCACCAGCCCTGCATGCTTGTAGCAGAAGCCGGGCCAGAGTGGGCGGCCTTAAGTACTATATGACCAATTCAGTAGGTTCCTCCCAACCCAGAGAGTCAGTCTTTGTGCCATTCCTTCCTCAGTTAGCCTGGGGTGATCCCAGGGGAGCCACACTGCTCCTCTCTGGGACTGTTTCCTCAGCCATCTAATGGTGGTGTATCCTGCTCTACTTGGGGGCCCAGAGAATCACAGAGGAACTTGAGAGAGAAGAATAGCAGCTTATGCGATCTCTGTACCAGCGGCTACTGTAGACGTCAGGCTGGAGTGGGACATCAAAGCCTTGGTTTTCACCTGTAGGCTGTGTGTGTTCGATGGTGGGGCAATAAACCTGGGGCTGACCTATTTAGCCCCTCACTCCTGGGTGAGTCAAAAATATTAATCTCCAGGTTAACAAATAACGAAAATACTCCTAAACAGGGGGTCCTGGGACTTGTAGGACGTAGTGTGAATCAACTACACACCAGGATTCAAAGCCAGAGTTCTTACCGCAAAGCCTAACCTATCTTCTCTACTGAGTAGCCTCATTTCTGACTGTTGCACGAGACTGTGAGCTCTCTGGAGGCGTGCAAGCTGTGTGCAAAGAGAGGCTAATGTGACAGGCCTCGGGTGCTGAAGAGGCAGCCTGTCTTCCCCAGGAGACCAAGGAGCCATCGAGGCCCATACTGTTGCGTGGCCCAACACCGGAGTCCAGAGGCAGCGAAAGACTTGGATTCTGTCCTTGTCATGCGTTGAACAAGCTTGAGCGAGTATTGGCCTCTGGTCCTGCTCCCACAGACTAATACTCTGTATATTGTTTCAGAACATCCCGACCCGGGATCGGCTGGAAGGCATGGCTGCCTTCAGGGAGAAGCGGCCCCCTAGATTTGTTGGCGAGTGACTTCCCTTGAACCTTACGCATGGGAGATGCACATCTTACAGGGAAGGATCCAGACGGAAAACGTGCAGCGCGCCTGCCCTCCTCATTTCACCCCTCTAGGCTTCAGTTTCCTCACAAGGACGATGATCGATATAGAGTGACTGGCACGGTGCCTGGCACGAAGGTGCTGACTATGCCATCTACCGCTACCTTCATCATTCCTCACCCAGGCTAGACAATCACTGGTGTCGGGTTGGCTTTGGAGAATACCTGTCTCTCCCTAATAGAACGATCAACTAAGGACAAAACAGACCCCTCTGGGCCTTTATATCGCTGGCACTCAAGCCTGACCTCTGCCTCTCAGTTATTAGGTGCTCACCAGAGATGAGAGGAGGTTGTAAGAACCACCCTCCACTGCCCTGTTTCTTCCTCTGTACAACAGAGATAATAAGGAAACCCTGGCAGTGGTTGAATAGGCCCAGCTCTCTGCCAGTTACTCACTGTGTGCCTCAGCCTCCTCATCTATAATGAAACTGTTGGGAGGACTAAACAAATAATAAAACGCCTGATGTTCAATAAACGTGAGTTATTATTCATGTACACTGTTCTTCTAAGAACCAGATGAAATCACTGCTGTGAAAACCTTTTGTAAACTGTAACGTGGCAGGCAAATCTTTGATGGAGCATTAAATAGCTTTCAGGAGTGCTGAGAAGGGAACGATTAACTCTGATGGACAACATGGAAGGTCAGGAAATGGGCAGGTGACACTGGAGTTGAAAGCTGAAGGATCAATAGGCATTTGAGGCGAAAAAGAGGAAGCCTGAGGGGAACAGCACGAGCAAAAGTGAGCAAGATGACGACACTGAGAAATAAAGGGTGGCTGATATGCACATGTGCACACTAGTCTCAGGAGCCCTCCTTCTGTGCACCAAGGCAGGGGAAGAGACAGCCACGTGGTCATTCTTTATCTGACCTGAGCTTTCTGCGCCTACGCCTGGCCAGACTCAGAAGTCACTAAGCCACGGGCACGGACACATACCAATAACATTGTTGACTTGCTGCTAAATACAAATGTGCCCCAAAGTTGTGCTCATTTCCTGAAAGGGAGAGTAACACAGAAGAGCCCAAGTCTCTGAATCAGCAGCAACCGCATGAGCAGCATCTATCTACTCAGGAAAGTAACCTGAACTTCTTCTTTCTCATCTGTTAAATAGGGAGGATAAAACTCAACTATCACAGAGGATTGTTGTGAATGAGACAAAACTTGGAGAGGTGCCCGGTTGTCGAACTGGACCTCAACAGGCACTATTTCCCACCCACCCTCCTCACATTAGCCTAAGCTAGTATCTGGTAACAGCATGTTCCAACGCACGGAACTCAGGTCAGGAAAGTAAGACAGCCTTTTGAATCATGCAAAAGAGTGAATGAGAGAAAATACTGTGTAGTTGCAGGACTGTAGAAGGAAGCAGATTACAAATTCCTCTTATCCAGTCACCAGTGAGCAATAGTTTGAAATATGGTTTAGAATAAGAATAAGCCTCATCTGATTCCAAACAAAGGTATATAGCATTCCAGTTAAGAGTCTGGCCAGCTAACAGCACAAAAATCTAGTCCTAAAATAAGCTACTAATTCAGAAAGGAATTTATTTCTTTGAAAAACTTAAACAGATGAATGGTAAAACATGTTTTGTTAGTTGTCAATAATAAGGTGAGGAAGGATTTCATACTCTATTCCAGAGTGGGTTTGCAGAGGACACAAACCAAAGCTTCTGATAGTTTATACTGTGGTTGAGGCTGGTTCTCAGAGAAGCTCACTATTTTTCTCATCTCCATATTAGGTAAGAGCACCTCTGGCACAGCCCTTCCTTTTCCTCTCAGTTTTCGTCACAGTCATAACTCAAATTAAAAATTTGAGGGATTGAGGGATTGAGATTTATAATCCCCATATAATCTTTCATCTGAACACTCTATTCTCAGTCCTAACTCTGACCATGCCCCACCAGCACACCCAATCACATACAATGTTACGCTTACTCAGTCTAACGCGTAACGTAGAGGAAGGAAGGTCAAAGGTAGACTATCCAAAATCATAAAAATATATTTCTCTTCCCTCCACCCAACGAGTGGAAGGTACTCTGGTATCTATTAAAAATAATTTTTTTTCCTCCCCTCCAATAGAAGTTCTGCCTTCCAAACAATACACTTATACGTGTATGCTTCCTAGAACTTTTTCATGTACTTCTTTTCCAGTGGCTTCATATAACCAGGAATAACAACTTAGGAGATTCTTTCAAACATGAAATTTAATAATAAATATCAAAGTTTCCCCGTAAGTCTTTCTTTTTCCTTTCCTCTGACAAACACTCAGAGTTAAGAAATTGGTCGGGGCTAGAGAAAAGTAACTGGCATAGCTGTTCCAACACAAGCTCACAAGTCTTCACACAGAGTCCAGGGCTTGATTTTTCAAAACTGCTGAAAGGGTATTCCCAGAATGATTCCAACTTGATTTGGGATCATGGCTATCATACAAACCCAACCTTCTTATAAGTTACAGAAAGTCAACCAAAAAAAAAAAAAAAAAAGGCCAAGAAGGCAGTCAACTCACAAACTCCAATGACAACTTGTTTCAATTCAATTCAACATTCAATTGGTGACAGGGCAGAAGACCTGACACTGAGCAACAGAGCACCTCTGAAGCCCCTGAGGATAAGAAGGGCATTCAGCAGAGAGGGGGTCTCTGATAATTCATGAAATGCATTCTGAAGTCATCTAGAAGGGAGGCTGCAATGTGCTGTGCTTGGGGGTCTGCCTCACTGTGCTTCTGGATGTCACACAAAAGCTGCAGTCCTTCTTCTTCGACTAACATTTTGCAGTATTTGCTGGCTGAAAGAAAATCAAGCGAAGAAACCTGACGGACAAGTTGGCATCTTAAATATTCCCAAATTACCACATTCACCATTTTGAAGAAAGAGTACAAAGTTTTAAGCCCTTTGACACAGGAATTAACAGATAAACTGTGTCAATGTAGAAGAAATATGCCAGGTAATGCTTGGCTTGTGTAATGAGATAATGGATGATTATTTTATTATGTTTACTTCTGGACAACTCTAGGCTTCAAATGTCTCTAATCCTAGCTAAAAGGATAAGAACATCTTTTATTACAAAAATGATACAAATTTCAGGTTCAGGCAATATGTTGAGCTACACAACCTAAAAACACCAGAGCTGGATACAGTATAATTGAAAAATTTTTTTAATTCATAGTTGAGTGCACAAAGGAAAGGAATTGTCCAGGAGTCAGACACAAAGAGCAAACAGCACCTAAAGCTCGTGTAACCTAACCTGTAACTATCGTCGGGCAGAAAGGGACCGTCAGTTTCAGTAATCTAGGAATTTAGATTTTAACTTAGGAAGTCAGAAGCAAAATCAATGCATAAAGCTGGCCCCTCAAAGGTCAAGACAACGGATAAGACAATGAAACATCTGCATTTAGCCTGACTCCTGGGAGAAGTCTTTCCTGAGAATTTATAAACAGTCCCAAGTTGGTATAGGGTTTGAATTTATATTACCCTAAATGTTCTGGGAACCCTTGAGCTGAGAAATTAATATAAGAATTAGTCCAATCCCACGGAAACCTCTAGAACATTTGACAGAAGCAAATACAAAGCTGTACTGAAGGGACATGTGCACAACTCAGTCTGAAAGGATTCTCTTAATCAGTCCAAGAGTCTATTACACACAGAAACAATGATCCAAAAACACATCTAAGGCAATTACCAAGAATGCAGTAAAAAGAAACAAAGACATGGAAACATTTGTTTTTAAATGGTAGGACAGATTCAGAGAAGGTATAAGATACTGCTGATAGATGTTACAAGAAAGGAATAGAGAGAATAGGTGGAGGGTAATATTTTAAAAGAAAATGGCTGAAAATTTTCATCAATTTTGTAAGGTATAATCATGACCTGAAACCCAGAGGCCATATAACAAAATATTGACTTGTAAAAACAATGAATAAAATCAAGACAATAAACTGGGAAAAAGTATTTGCAAGAGTCCCTTCAAATTAAAAAGAAAAAGACCAAAAATCAGTAAACAAAAAGTGAGCAATGGAAATCAACAGACAATTCAAATATAAGACAGTTCACCTTACTTAAAATAAACATCATCTGAGACTCTCTTTCACCTTAGATTGACAAAGATCAAAAAATTCAACTAAGGCTTCCCTGGTGGCACAGTGTTTGAGAGTCCGCCTGCCGATGCAGGGGACATGGGTCCGTGCCCCCCGATCCGGGAGGATCCCGCGTGCCGCGGAGCGGCTGGGCCCGTGAGCCATGGCCGCTGGGCCTGCGCGTCCGGAGCCTGTGCTCCGCAATGGGAGAGGCCACAGCAGTGAGAGGCCTGCGTATCACCAAAAAAAAAAAAAAAAAATTCAACTAGGGCTTCCCTGGTGGCGCAGTGGTTGAGAGTCTGCCTGCCGATGCAGGGGACACGGGTTCGTGCCCCGGTCCGGGAAGATCCCACATGCCGCGGAGTGTCTAGGCCCGTGAGCCATGGCCGCTGAGCCTGCGCGTCCGGAGCCTGTGCTCCGCAACGGGAGAGGCCACAACAGTGAGAAGCCCGCGTACCCCCCGCCCAAAAAAAATTCAACTAAACCTTTTTGCAAGAATAAAAGGAAACTGGAAGCTCTAATATATTACTGATGGGAATGCAAACTGGTAATCAATTATCTGGATGACAGTTTAGCAATACCTACCAAAACAAGCATTCATAACACTTTGACTCAGTAATTCTAAAAGTATTCTGCAGATTATGCTTGCAAAGTGATGTCTTTTCTTTTAACAAATGGTATGCACTACGCTTGTACTAATACTGTGCTATGTACAAATGCTCGTACTATGAGCCAAGCAATGTTTAAATGCTTTGCAAATGTTACCTCATTTAATTCTCATAACAGCCCTATGAAATAGGTACTTTAATCCCCATTTTACAGATGAGGAAACTGGAGCACAGAGGGGTTCAGTAACTTGCTCAAGCTCCCACAGTTAGTAAATGGGAGAAAAGTACAAATAGTCTGATTCTGGGGTCTGTCCTCTTAATTAGCACACATGTTCATCTTTCCTAAGTATATAGTATGTGTGTGAGTGAGAGTGAGAGAGAGAATGTCATTATTCATTGAACCAGTGTTTGTATTGTAATAGAAAAGACTGGAAACAATGTTAAATAAATTAATTGTTACATCATATAGCAAAGAAATACAGAGCAATCTAATTAATAGTGGTGATCTGGAGTCAGATCACTAGGTTAGAGCCCTATCTCTGCCGGTGCAGGCTACTTTAACTTTGGGCAAGTTACTTTACTTCTCTATGCCTCGTTTTCTCATCTGTAACAATAAATACAATAAAATGCTACCTGTTCTGTCTGTTGTGAAGATTAAATAAGTTACACATAAATAGCTTACAACACTGCTTGGCACACAGTAAATATAAATACTCAACTAAATTCTAGTTGTTGTTACAGTTACTACTGTTGTAATTGAATATACTAGAGTCTATTTCAGTGCCATTCAAACTGATTGATCTGCCTCCATCTATTCATATGCCAGTACCATTTAAAGAGAAGTGTTAGAGACTTCTCTGGTGGTCCAGTGGTTAGGACCCCACGCTTCCACTGCAAGGGGTGCCAGGGTTTGATCCCTGGTCTGGGAATTAAGATTCTGCACGCCACAGGCACAGCCAAACATAAATAAATAAATAAAGAGAAGTATTAGGGCAAGCTCCTAAAAACCATTTTTCTCAGTCAGTTCTTTCCTGTTTATCCTGCCACTTTAACTTTAAAATAATTTTCAGATTCCTCAACTCTTACTCATTCACTTGAATTGTATTATATCCGTGAATTGAAAAGAACTGAGTATAGTATGTCTCACAATTATTTCAGGCTTTTAAATTATTTCCTATAGTTTTTTTTTGCATATAGGCCTCAATACTTGTTAAAGCCGTTCTGAGATAGCTTATGCTTTTGATAGTTAAAACTTTAATTCTAAAAGTTATATCTTAGGTATTTTAGTATAAAAGTATAGCCTATATTTCTTTTATAATAAAAGCAAAAATTTTAATAATAATGCTTAACAAAGAATAAAAGCCAAGGGACTTCCCTGGTGGTGCAGTGGATAAGACTCCACGCTCCCAATGCAGGAGGCCTGGGTTCAACCCCTGGTCAGGGAACTAGATCCCACATGCATGCCACAACTAAGGAGCTGGCAAGGCACAACTAAGGAGCCCTGGAGCCACAACTAAAGAGCCCACCTGCCACAACTAAGGATCCCACGTGCTGCAACTAAGGAGCCCACAAGCGACAACTAAGACCTGGCGCAACCAAATAAATAAATAAATATTTAAAAAAAAATAAAAGCCAAGAATTCCCAAGGGGAATTTAAAACAGCAAAACATGGAAAAACATTTAAGCTGCCTGGGACCAACTCCTGACATCTGGCCCCCCAGCCTCCCTCAAACCATTACAAAGAGGCAAATCTATGTATTACTATAGGAAGAATAGTATTCATGATAAACTACTGAGTGAAAAACAGCAAGCTATAGGGTAGTATGCACAGAATGAGCCCATTTTGTCTAAAAACATTATCCTGTTCACATAGAGTATATACTAACTATAGCATGTATACAGAAAAGTATCTGGAAGTATAGTTATAGTTATCAACTTATGGACAGTGCTTGCCTATGGGGAATAGGAGTGGGAGCAAACTTTCACTTTCTATATCGCTTGACAAACACCCCCAATTACAATTCTGTAGCATTTTTTATACTAATACAAATGCTTTTCAGTTACTTTTTTAAAAGTGTTAAAATCAGGACATAGGTGAACAATTTTTCAAAATTCCATCTTGAACTTAATCCTTATACAGAAAAATAGCTGGAAAACTATTCTTTTTAATTACATACGGTTTTTACTGCAGACATGATACATGGCCCATAGTGCCCAGAGCTGAACTTCCGGTCGAGAGACGTTGCCAAGGAGTGGGAAAAATGCCTTGAAGGATCTAAATAAGTACAAAGAAGATGTTTCTTCAGAACTCAAGCTAACATCAGGGATATAATAATAATTTTCAACGTTTTCCCCCCAGGGTCAATTCCTCACCAAGACAGATGTACTGCTGAGCATATAATCAGAACAAGCATTTAAGAAATTATACTCTGTGTGAGACATTATACATTCAACATCTGATTCCACCCCCAATCTTGCACACTGCCAGCCTCATTTTACAGATGACGGAAACTGAGTCTCAGAGATTTTCTAAGAGTGATTTTCCCAATATCACAAAGAAACAGGATTTGAACACATGCTATTTTATTCTAATATTTTATCACTGTACCATGGCCTCTACATAGTGAGTAGACTGAGGACAAGCTTTAAGAAAAGCACTATACCATCATGAAATTACCTGTAGGTCACCAATGCTGTCATCTTACAACTTGAACTTGGCCAATTCTGGATGGTTGTATACTGTACAAAAAGACATATCAAGATTCTGGTATTGTTTCATGTCATTTATAATTACATATATATGAAACAACATAAGTTTTCAAAACATGGAATTGATTACTCAAATTTAGGATACCTAACCTGCCAACTATCAATTAGATAAGCATTATATATGTAGAATATAAACAAAGTCATGTGGAAAACAATGCAATAAAAAGGGGCTCCTGTTTAATGATGGAAGATTGAGCATGCACCCACTCCTCCCTTAAATCCCACGAACAGAATGATACAAACGGTTTAAAAGAAAACAAATACACATAGAAGAAAGCAGAAGGAAAATGGTAACTAATTTAATAGATCTAGCACTAGGGAAGGTTGAAAAAACAAACCATTTTGAACAGAACACCCAAGAGACTTAAATATTTGGCAAAAGTATTACTTCAGGAAGTGAGATTAGAGGTGGGGTTGAAAATAGGAGGATTGGTTGAAAGTACCAAAGAATCAAGACTTCAAGATCTCCTCTACCACCCCTTACAAAAATTTCTGGACTGGGCAATCCCATGAACAGCTGAGGTTGGGAGTACCATGCTAAAAACGGGGGGCTAAAGTGAAAAATCTAAATACTAAATGCTGAGTCTCCTTTACCCCCCAACTCTCTTCCTCCAGTGGGTGTTTAGCCTGTTGGAAGCCGACCTTATAATCTTCAATCAGAAGAATAGAAATTAAGGAAGGGAGGGATGGGACTTCCCTGGTGGTGCAGTGGTTAAGAATCCACCTGCCAATGCAGGGGACACAGGTTTAAGCCCTGGTCCGGGAAGATCCCACATGCCACAGAGCAACTAAGCCCGTGCAGCACAACTACTGAGCCTGCGCTCTAGGGCCCACAAGCCACAACTACTGAGCCCGTGTGCTGCAACTACTGAAGCCCACATGCCTAGAGCCCGTGCTCCACAACAAGAGAAGCCACTGCAATGAGAAAACTGTGCACCACAACAAAGAGTAGCCCTGGCTTGCTGCAATTTGAGAAAGCCCATGTGCAGCAACAAAGACCCAATGCAGCCAAAAAAAAAAAGGAAGAGAGGGAAGCAGGGAGAAAAAAGAGGAAAGAAAAAGGAGGGATGGAGGGGCAAGAGGGAGAGAAAGAAATTTCCCAGAATTGAAGGAAATGAGCTTCCAGAGCAGTAAGTAGCCAATGGAACAGATGAAAATGAACCCACATCAAGGCACATCACTGTGATTTCCAAACACTGAAGACAAAGGTCTTAAAGCTTCCAAAGAAAAATGGCACGGGACTTCTCAACAGTGATACAGAGAAATAAAAGACAATGGAGCAATGACTTAGAAATTGTGAAAATATTTCAAAACTTAACTTTTATACCTAGCCATTTGATCAACTAAATGTGAATGTAAAATAAAGGCCTTTTCAAACATAAAAGGTTTCAAATTTTCTTTTCCATATATCTCTTAGGAAGCTACTGGAGGATATGACGCAAGAGAATGAGGGAGTACACCAAAAAATAGGAAGGTATGCAATCCATGAAACAGGGAATCCAACACAGAGCACAAAGAGGATCTCCAGAATGATAGTAAATGAATATCCTGGGATGACAGTGGCCTAACAGATATACAAAAAAGCAAATCAGATGGAAAAAAAAACAGAAGGCTTGGGAAAGTAGTCTCCAAGAAGCTGAAGTAGACAGGATGTGCTTGAATGTACTGAAAGGAGATGTATACTTGGAGTATAGGAAAGGGTGTGCATTGGGACAAAGAGAAAAAGAATCTTCATTTTCCAAAGTGGGAAAATAAATTGATAATGTCTTTAACTACAAAGTCAAGAAATAACAACATATGTTAGCGATATGGAGGTAAACACCAAAAGAAATAGCTTTAAAAAGAGCTGAGAGTGGGAAAGAGAATTAGAATAAGCCATATAAACGGTTTGCATGTATAACTTTTATAGAAGGAAAGTTACCAGAAGGAATGCAACAAAATGTTAATAGAGATTAGCTTTGGGTGGTTAAGGTGTGGGTGATTTATAATGTTTTCTTTATATTTTTCTCTCTCTTTCCCATTTTCTACAATGAACACATATTTCAAAAATTCTTATGATCCAGAAAAATAAGTTATCTGCAAGGAGAGATGACTCTGGATTTTGTAAAGAGCAATGGTTCTCATACCAGATCCTGGAGGAGTGCTCTCCTCTGGAGGTCATGGGATATCCAGGGCTGTTTGTCAGATGTCAGGTGGGCTATGATGCCTGCAGCTAAATAGCTGACTTCCAATTCCTTACTATGCAGCAAGCTGCTGACATGCTTTACCACATCTTCAGTCACCAGCTCGGAAGAGAGTTCTCTGACTTCAGCTATGTTGTTCTATGGGTCAGATGGAGCAGAGAATATCAGGGACAGGAAAGGAGGGGAGAATCAGGAACTGGTTCCTCTCCCTCTCCTACTGCTCAGCTCATATACATACAAGAACACTTAGTCCCATCCTCCTCCCTCTGACTTAGCCTAACACCTACAATCCCACCCCCTTGATGATGAGCATGATCAGGAATAACAAATCATTGAGTAAGCACGTACTAAGTGCCAGGCACTGAGCTAGAGAGACTGAAATGTCTTTTTATCTGCCTTATCACACTTAATCTTTAATAGTCCCACAAAGAAATGCGACACTCAGCAAGACTGACTTGTCAGGTTCACACTGCTAGTAACTGGTTGGACTAGAATACAAATCCAGGTCTGACTAAAAAACTTAACATTCCTGGGGGCCCACTACATGTTACATTAGCTTTAAGTTTAACAGTAACAATGAAAGGCAGGAAGTATTTTCGTTACTTTATGTACTGTATTAGTTTTCTATGTGTGTAACAAATTAACACAAACTTGGTGGCTTAAAACAACATACATTTTTCCTCTCCCACTTTCTGTGGGCCTCGCTTAGCTGGGTCTCACGAGCCTGCAATCAAAGGGCTGGCTGGGCTGCATTCTCATCTGGAGGCTTCAATGGGTGAGGTGTGGGTGGGGAGAATACTTCCAAGCTCACTCAAACCGTTGGCAGAATTCATTCCCCTGTGGCTGCAGGAAGGAGGGTTTCTTGCTGGAGGTCACCCTCAGCTCCCAGAAGCTGCCCATAGTTTTTTTTTTTTGCTATGTGGGCTTCTCCCTTCTCCAACCACTCACTTCTCTAGAGTGTCTGCTAGGAAGAAGGATTTTATACATATTGTCATATAATCACAGGAGTGATATCCTATTATCTTTGCCATATTCTGTTAGTTAGAAGCAAGTCACAGGTCCTGCCCAGACTCTAGGGAAGGAGATTACACAAAGACATGAACACCAAAAAAACTATAATCACTGGGGGTTGGTCACTTAGGGTCTGTCCACTACACAGATGAAAAAACAAAGGTTTAGAGGATAAACACACAGTCAAAGCGACCACAGCAGTTACTGCTCCTTCTAAAGCAGCTTTCAGAAAAGTATACCCTATAGACTTAGTATGTTGAGAAAGGCATAAGGCACTCTGTAGAAAATTGTACTGTTTTGAGACCCACCCTGCCCCCTTTTCCCAAGACTAGCTATACCCCTCTTGTTAACAGCATGATTTCAGCAGAAATTGCACTGTTTTTAGACCCCCTGCCCTTCTTCCCTGGGCCAGCTACACAATTAGTCAACAGCATGACCAGCATTGAGTCTATCAGATGGGCAGCCCCAAACAAGAAGAGACAAGATGATAGATAGGATCCTTAGCAAAACTGAAAGGGACACCTCAGTTGAGTCCCAAGTTCCTCTTTAATCTTGGCAGAGGCTTTTATATTAGCCTTTTCTTCCCAAGAGTCTATGGAATAAAATACTGAATGGGAGCTACAGGAGAATGTGGGTCTTCCTCATACAGAAAAAGGAAGGAAAAGGAACAACCTCCCTAACCCTCAGTATTCTGAGAGGCTCTCAAAAGGATAAAAAGAAGGATACTTAGCATTGTATAGATCTATGAGGCTTCAATCCACCCTTCTGGCCTTATTTCCCATAGTTTTTCTTCTTCCCACCTTCTCCCAAAATTCCAGATACTCTATATTACGGTGTCCCTCAAATGATTACATTTTCTCATTCTTTCTTAGCCCAAAATGACCTTTGTTCCTTACTTCTACTTTTCTGTACCTTCCAAGTTTCCAATACTAATCATGTATTCCTCTCTATGAAGCCTTTCACATCTGCTCTGTACCAAGTCCTGTATGTGTTAGGGATACAAAGGGAAAGACACAGTCCCTGCTTTCAATGAGTTCATGATCTAGAATCAAAGGCTCCCACTGGACTTTGTGCCTCTTTTCCAGCACTTACCACAGTCAATCATGAATTACAGAGGTATTTGCATACACGTCTGACACCACCTCCCAACATTATTAGTACTAGCAGCTTGCTATGTTTCATGTATCTGTGTCTTCCGAAGCACCAGCACAGCAAACTGCAGGGGCATACAGTAGTATGTCTTCGTTACTTTTTGTAAATCTTCACCTTTATCTTTAGGAAACAAAGAAATCTCTCAATAACAAATATCCTGATTGGGAGGTAGTATAAAAGTATAAACAAAGATATTTCTAAAAACTTAATTCAATTGTTAAAGAGGAAGTAGGGTAAAGTGGCTACTATCAGAGGGTCTGGAGCCAGACTGCCTGAGTTTGAGTTCTGATTCTGCCTCTTACTATCTAGGTAACATAGGGTAAATGGCACTTCTGTGCCTCAGACCGAATATCTATAAAATGTAGACAACGATGTATCGGAGAGTGCAGAACATAACGCAATCTCCCTATCCCTGTGTATATGCCCTTTAACAATGTGACTGCTCTTCCCATCAAGGGGTGGCCACCTCCTTTAATCTGGGCTTATCCGTAGGCATAAGAAATACCTGGTCTTTGTACCTAGTTCCTGACTCAGAGCTCTCAAATCCCTTGGAATTTCTGGAGTGATTGGAGCAACTTTGTTCTAATGAAGTGACTCTTGGTAGGCACCTAGATAGCTTCTGGATGGGGGCTGGATGCCAGAAAGACCAAACCTTGATTAGAAGCCTGGAACTTTCAACCCCATGCCCCCAACCTCAGTGGGAGAGGAGAGAGGCTAAAGATTGAATTAATAATCAATCGTGCCTGTGTGATGAGACCCCCACCCCCACATAAATACCCCTAAATAATGGGGTTTGGAGAATTTCTGGGTTGGTGAACACATCAAGGTGCTGGGAAGGTGGTGTGTCCAGAGAGGGCATGGAAGCTCTGCACACATCCCTCCTTCCTTGCCCTACATACCTCTTCTATTTGACTGTTTCTGAGTTGTATCCTGTAATAAACTGAAAATAGCAAATAAAGTGCCTTCCCCAGTTCTGTGAGCCATTCTAGCAAATTATCAAACTGAGGAGGAGGGTCGTGGAAACCCCCAATTTAAAGTCAGTCAGTCAGAAGTAGGGGTGGCCTGGGCTTAACAGTTGGCAACTAAAGTGGAGGCAGACTTGTGGGACTGAGCTTTTTAATTTGTGGGACCTGATGCTAACTCTGGATAGCTAGTGGCAGAAGTGAACTGAATCGAACTGTAGGACACCCAGTTGGTGTCAAACAAGTGGCAAAGTGGTTGTTGGAAAACACCCCGGGTCTCGTAATCTACTTTGACCTGTGAGACATTAGAAAATCTGATCTAAGCAGAGGCTTAAGAAGCACTTGTACAGTGCACTTGCCTTCTATTGCTGCCCAGAAACTGCCAAGTGAAGAAGCTCATGGAGACATAAGGCCCAGCTAACAACCTGTACCAACGGTCAGAGCTGAGAGTCAGGCCATCCTAGAGCATCTAGGCCTAGCTGAGCCACCAGATGACTGCAGCAACATGAATAACTCCACAGAGACCAGCAGAAGAACTGTACAGCTGAGCTGAGTTCAAACTCTAGACCCACAGATTCATAAGTGAATAAAATGGATGCTGTTTTAAGCTGTAGTGTGTTTACAGCAATAGATGACTCATATATAATGGTATTTACTTTATAGGGATAGTGTGAAGATTAAACGAGCTAATGCACGTAAACTGCTTACAAAAGTGCCTAGCACATAGTAGGTACTACATGAGCGTGAGCTTTCTATTTTTTTAAGTAATTAGAATTAACTCAAAACAATTCACCTTACCAAAAGACCAAGTACTTTGCTTTGTATTGTTGACTCTGAAAAAGTCTGTGAAAAGAATATACAGGTTACTTTATCATGAAGAAAAGAACTTTACAGGGACTTCCCTGGTGGTCCAGTGGGTGAGACTCTGCACTCCCAGTGCAGGGGGCCCAGGTTCAATCCCTGGTCGGGGAACTAGATCCCGCATGCATGTCACAACTAAGAGTCTGCATGCTGCAACTAAGAAGTCCGCATGCCACAACTAAGACCAGGAGCAGCCAAAATAAATAAATAAAATAAATAAATAAATATTTTTAAAAAGGACTTTACACATAAACTCAATCCTGTCTTCCCACCTCCAAGACTTGGATGAAGATCGCCAATCCTTGATTTTCAATAACATGCTTGCAGGCAGCTGGAGATTCATCTGTAAGATTCCAAAGTGCTTTCAAAGTAAACAAGAAGGTGACGTCATCTAAATTCTCAGTAGTCTTTTGTTTTACTATTGCTAGAAGTTCCTAAAAAACAAAGAGACAGGGAGTAAGATGCCCTAGTGACTGACTCAATTCCAGTATAAGGAAAGCAATGGTTAAGAAAAACTTTAGAATCAAACCTCGGTTCTAAACCCAAGTTCTACCACTTAATAGCCTTGTGACCCACTTTCTCTCTATAAAATGACTTACACCTATTTTTTAGGGTTTTTGTGAGGAAAAAATATTAAAGTTTATCAAGCACTTAATCTAGTTCTTGGTGCTTGTTAATAAACCTCATAATCAAGTACATATCAGCTATTCCATTATTCACATATTGAGAATGTTTAGTCAACACCTTTTGGAAGTCAGGCACATATTCAGATAAGAGTGACAGATTAAAAGAAACAGTTTATCTCAACTAAATAAAATAATTTTTAGTTTTGGTAAATGCTCTGAAGGAAACACATAAAAGCCTAAGAATTTTCTTTAGAAAAGGTGGGAGAGGGAAGACTCCATACAAAGGTAATATGTAAAAGAGACCAAAAGAAAAAAAGGACAAGGCAGCTAAGCAAGGAATGAGGACATAAAAGGGGGAGGGGGGGCAAATATTCCAGGCAAAAAAAAAAAGCTTGCTGTTCTACACCACTGAGCAGGTCAGTATGGCTACAGGATAACACTAGTTTGTAGTATAACATGTCCTAATAGCTTGAAGAAACCACTGACTTATTTAACAGAGATTCCAATATACCATTGCAAATCAGAATTTTTCTAGACAAAAGTTAAGCCAGTATTCATGGTTTCTTTCAAACATACTAGACTGTCACGTGAAAGGAAAAAGACAGCCATTTCCACTTAACCAGCTAATGAAAAGATACATAAAGTATAACAACGCTAAACAAACCAGATTATGTCTGTTTTCAGGAGGAATGAGACCATCTCAAATATTTTACCCAATCAGGAGAGAACACATCAAGAGAATTCACGAAAATGAAGCTGTTAGAGCCAAAAGAAGAATATGAGTGCACACCACGCAGGTAGCAATCACCTAGACAGCCAACAGGGTGAGTGCAGCAAGGGAGGGAGCAGAAAGTGAGGCTGACCGGGAAAGCAACGACAGCTGTGGTCAGGCCCATGGTTAGATGCTTTACACATTTTATCTTAATAATACTCAAAATAACTGCAAAATATTACTCCCATGTCCAACGTCAGTTTTTCAGATAAAGAATCTGAGGCGCAGAGGAGATAAATCAATTACCTAAGGGCTACGGCTAGTTAGTGGCTGAACCTAGTTTGTTTTAATCTGAAGCCTGAACTTTTTTTTTTTAATCTTTGAATTTTATTTTATTTATTTTTTTATACAGCAGGTTCTTATTGTCACCCATTTTATACACATCAGTGTATACATGTCAATCCCAATCGCCTAATTCATCACACCACCACCACCACCCCCCGCTGCTTTCCCCCCCTTGGTGTCCATACATTTGTTCTCTACATCTGTGTCTCAATTTCTGACCTGCAAACCGGTTCATCTGTGCCATTTTTCTAGGTTCTACATATATGCGTTAATATATGATATTTGTTTTTCTCTTTCTGACTTACTTCACTCTGTATGACAGTCTCTAGATCCATCCACGTTAAAGTCTGAACTTTTGGTACCACTACCTAAAATGGTTTCTCCAAGAACTACAGGGCTACACTTCCCTCCGTGTTATTTTAAGCACTTGCTCTCCATATCGATATCTATCTCTCTCTACCTCTATCTATTACTGTTAGCATTCCCAGTAACTTCAGTGTTCTTCCACCACATCATCTTGGCAAAACTCCTACCTTAGTTAAACCCTACTTCATGCCCCACCTCCAAAATCTGAATATTGAAAAAGACTGTGCTCGAGTCTCACTCTTAATATCTGCCTCAAAATTTCAAAAGGTCATTCAACTGTACTGGCAATCCTACTATATTTCTCAATGAATTCACTCCAAAGACTACTATTTCATAATTCTCACTCCCCAAACTTTAACTGCCATCTTCTTGTTCCTCTCATTTGATCAATTCATCTAAGTTTTCACTGGGCACCATAGCTATTCTTCCTACCAAAATCTAACAACCTGCTTGCCCTTGCATCAGTGTACTCTGCCTTCCATTCTGCTCCAAACTAAAGCCAGCATCTGGGGACTTTCCTGGTGGTCCAGTGGCTAAGACTCCACGCTCCCAATGCAGGGGGCCTGGGTTCGATCCCTGGTCAGGGAACTAGATCCTGCATGCACGTCGCAACTAAGAAGTTCATGTGCCACACAAAGATCCAGCGTGCCGCAACTAAGACCCTTTGTAGCCAAAATACATAAATAGTTTTTAAAAACCCAATGACAAAAATTTCTCCTTTAAAAAAAAAAGAAAAGAATAAATTCAACAATATAAAATTTTTTTAAAAATTACTGCGTACCAAATCATGCCATAAATAAAGTAAAAACAGACTAACAGCCAACTGGGGAAAAATTACATGCATCCTATAAACATAAAGGAATCCTATAAATTAGAAAAAAGCCAGCAACCCTAAAGAAAAACTAAAGGCCATGAACAGACAATTCACAGAAATGACTCTTCGAAAAAAAGAAAAAGGCTCAAGCCTCACCTCAGAATAAGAGAAGTGCAAAATAAAACAATGATGTACATTTTTTCATAATCAATGTTAGCATAATCATAATGTAGACATTGATTTATTAAAACTTGTAATATAAATTTATTGGGGGTTGGGAAAGGAGGTAATTTGTATAGATATATGTAGGAGAGCCAAATTCTTATTTACCATACCAGCAGAATCACAAGATAACATCTAAAACTGATAAATCTTTTTTTTTTAATTCGAGTATAGTTGCTTTACAGTTTTGTTAGTTTCTGCTGTACAACGAAGTGAATCAGCTATATGTATACATATATTCCCTCCCTCTTGGACCTCCCTCCCACGCCCCCCTCCCCGGCCATCCCACGCATCTAGGTCATCACAGAGCACCAAGCTGACAGCTCCCTGTGCTATACAGCAGGTTCCCACTAGCTATCTATTTTACACATGGTAGTGTATTTATGTCAATCCTAATCTCCCAATTCGTCCCACCCTCCCCGTCCCCTCATGTCCACGTATCTGTTCTCTAAGTCTGCGTCTCTATTCCTGCCCTGGAAATAGGTCCGTCTGTACCATTTTTCTAGATTCCACATGTATGCTTTAATATACGATATTTGTTTTTCTCTTTCTGACTTACTTCACTCTGTATGACAGACTGAAACCACAATTATAAGCATTTTATTTAGAGATATGGAGAAGAAATAGCTATATGAGTACAGAATAGTTTCTTCTGGGTAGCAGGTCTTACAGATTGTTCATTTTATAAGCTTTCTAAAATGATTTAATTTTGTAAACTATGTTCACAAATTACTTTTACTGAAAAAAAGTTATAAAAGTGACAATTAACCTACCTTAACTGCCATGAAGAGCTCTTCTTTAAGTTGTGCAGTTTGCTCACGTGAGAGCTATAAACAAACAAAAAGCCGAAAGTGAAATGTTAGACCTCCATCAAAGCTCCACCAAGACGAGGGAGAGAGAAAGTTTGCATTTAGCGATCACATACCTGCAGGGCTAGAATAGAGGTTATGCTCACTGCCATTGTTTGCATCTTGGGGTTTTCATGCTTACAGAGCCATCTCATAACAAATTTGGCAGCATCGAACCTAAAAAACAGTATTTTTCTCACAATAAAGTTTGTGAAACTACATGAGAAGTGAAGAAATCAGTTAGCCTCCCCAACAACTCTTGTTTAACAAAAATAGTCTTGGACTTGTAAAGCCTCCGCCATGAAAGCAAAGAGCATTTGGCAAAAAGAAGAGAAAATCAGAAGAGGAAAAGGAGAGCATGCAAAAAAGAATGTGAGTGGGAACTGCACAGCAGTCCAGTGGTTAGGACTATGCGTTTTCACTGCCAAGAGCCCAGGTTCGATCCCTTGTCAGGAACTAAGATCCCACAAGCCACGAGGCATGGCGATAAAAAAAAGAATGTGAGCAAAATGCACAAGATTCAAAGATTGACAGACCTAAAAAAGACTTATTTTTAGCAGTGTCAACTATGATGGGTCCGAAAAAGGAAATAAGTTCCCAAGAGGTAGTAATTTATAATCTGAATCGCAGACAGTGCTAAAATGCCACAGCAAACAAATCACTTAGCTAGACAGAATTCATGGCCCTTTATTCACGGCTTTTACTCAGCTCCAACAGATGACTGCTATACAGGAATGAAGGCTAGTTGAAAAAGAGCTTCCAACTTGTCAAAAGAAAGTGAAAATACAGATTTTTTTTTTTTTAATGAGGAAGACCACCTTCCCTACTGTACTTTTAAAAGTCAACTCTCATGTTAAGTACACACTTTAATTAGATTTGAGAATGGCTTAGCCTACAACCTTGCATGCATAAATCATGGGCTTTGTTCATATCAGGCTGTGGCTAATTTTCCTGTTGGCAGCAACTATTATTAATGTTTTGGAACTCATGAATCTGAGAGATTACAATGGCCTCAAGAGGAACCCCTCTGGAGTCTACAATGATGTTTTGTGTGTGTTTTTTTTTTTAAAAAAAAAAAAAGCATTATCAATAAAATAATAACAAAAAGAATGGTTAATATTTAGAACAGGCTGCACCCTTATGCTAGGCACTGTGATAAGTACCTTACAAACATCATACCTAATCCTCATAAGAGTCACTATTTTAAAAATGAGGAAACTTACGCACAAAGATAATGAAAGGGCTAGGACTTGATTCGATGTTTTACTCTCTGGCGCCCATGTTCTTACCACCCACTGCCCTAAACTGGAATCACACTTTGGGAGACAACACTTGCAAGTATAGTACTTCCGAACACCTCTGTGGAAAAATCTCAACAGAACATTTTCCCCAAACACTTTATCCCAGCCTTAATCAGACCCTTGCTAGGCTAACCACCAAAAGCCAACAATGCTCAGAGTAACACTGGTCAACACCCCAAAATCAGATAATCCAATTTTATACTTGCCTGTCAAATGGAACATCCACAAGAATCCTGGAATTGGTTAAGGAGAGAAGGCAATTCTTCTGTAACTTAACGGAATAAAGAAAAGTAATTCTGAGCAAATGTATACTCATTCTAAATAAAGGTTCTAATTAAACATTTGGAAGGTGCTACTAATAAGCTTTTCTTATTGAGAGCTCGTTGTGTACCTGGTCCTCTCCAAGTTCTTCATTTAATCTTACTATTAAACTCTGTAACATTCACCTTTGCCTAAAGAACAATCTTTCCCTTTTTTGGCAAAGAGGCAGTCTCCCTTCTCCCTGAACCCTAGAAGGATCTATATGGAGAGCTGTCTGCCTGTGTGTCAGTCCAAATCAATTACCGGAAGTCTGGCCCATCTACTGAATGATAAATGCCTTTACCAGATCTCATAACTAATTCTGTGATAGAGCTTCTACTTTCTACCTATGATTGGTAGGGATTGAACTATGCCTTTAAAGATAGGAAAGAAAGAGAAAAGGCCTTCTAGGAAAGCTTTAGGAATAGAAAAATATAACATCTCTTTGAAAGGCCATGAGTAGGTCAGTGACATGCACTGCCATGACAGCAGTGTATGAGGCAGGGATAGCAAAACTGAAATGCCAACAGGAACTAGGCAGTAACGTAAACAAGTGAAGAAAGCAGAGTACGAAACAATAGGGCAGTGGTAGGAATTATGGCAAACTGGAGAATTCATACCCTTCTATAGGGGCAGTTGTTACTCAGCTCCAACTGAAGACTGCCATGCAGGAATTAAGAATGAATTGAGAAGGATCATCCAACTTTTCAAGAGAAAGTGGAAATACAGATTTTTTTTTAAACATGGAAAGACACCTTCCTTGTATTTTTAATAAATCGATTCCCATTTTAAGTACACACTTCAATTAGATTTGACAAATTTATAAAGATGTGTAACAATACCACCCACCACCACCACAAGCAACATAAAAAATATTTCCATCACCCCAAAGAGTTCCACTGTGCCCCCTTCCACTCAATCCCAACCCTGAAAATTCCAGCCCCAGAAAATTATACTGTCGTTACAGATTAGCCTTTACTAAGATTTCACATAAGTAAAATCATATGGTATCTACTCTTTTGCGTCTGGCTTATTTTGCTCAGCACATAATGTTTTTGAGATTCATCCATGTTGTATATGTATCAGTACTTCATTCCTTTGTATCACCAAGTAGTATTTCCTTATATGAATGTATCACAATTTGTTTATCTACTCACCTGCCGCTGGACATTAAGTTTTCAGTTTGGGGGGGATTATGAATAAAGATATTATGAGCATTTGTGTATAAGTCGTTATATGGTTATATGATTTCATTTCTCTAGGAGTAAAATGAGTACGTAGCATGAAAGAGGACTTTCACGTCTAACTTTCAAAGGAATTACCAGGCTGTCGAACTGGTGGTTTTACCATTTTATCTTAACATCAATATATGAGAATTTCAGTTTCTCTACACTCTTGTCAACACTTGGTATTGTCAGTTTTTTATTTCAATCAATCTAGGGGGTGTGTAGTGGTACCTAGGTGTGCAGTGGTATCCAAATGTGCTTTTAATTTGCATTTCCCTGATGGCTAAAGATACTGAGCATCTTTTCATGTGCTCATTTACCATCTGCCTATCTTCTTTGGTGAAGTATCTGTTCAAATCTTTTGCCTTCTTAAAAAATTGGTTTGTTTGTCTTGTGTCACAAGGCAAACAGTTCTTCACATTCTGGATAAAAGTCCTCTGTCATATACATAAAATAAACATTTTCCCCAGCCCTGGATTACCTTTTCATTTTTTAATGTCTGTGTGTGTTTGAGCAGAAGCTTCTAACTTTGATGAATTCCAATTTGTTATTTTTCTTTTATGATGTATGCTTTTTGTATCCTAAGAAAACTTTGCTTACTCTGACATCACATTTTCTTCTAGAAGTTTTATGGTTTTAGCTTTTATATCATTTAGACCTTTAATTTAGCTTTTATCTTTAGGTCTATGATTCAATTCAGTTTAATTTCACACATGATGTTAAGCCTATAGGATGTGCTAAAGTGTTAATAGTAGATGTTTCTGGGTAACTGGTTTCTGATCAATTTAAAAATTTTAAACCCTATTACTTATTTATATTTCTTATTTTTTCTATAACAAACATGAATTCCTTACCTATTTCTCTCTCCCTACCTTCCTCCCTCTTTCTCTCTCTCTCAGGATGAAAAATCAGAACTAAATAAAAAATATTTTTCATATATTTGTCCTCAAGTAAGAAGCAGTCAAATATTCAAACCAAATTACCTGCTGGTAATGGGGGAAATTTTTCAGAGCCTTGAAAAGTAGACAGGTAACCTCTGACAACAGACGAACAGGCATCCCCCTGGCCAGGTCCTGGCGTGTTAAGTTGAGGGCACAAGCACTGGCTGTGAACTGCACTGGCAAATCCAATGGATGATTCCTCATTCCTATAGCCACAAGCTGAAGATGAACTTGGTTTTAGTGGCATGTGACAACATTAGCATTCTTTACACAGTCTTATTTTTGTGTTAGTTGTCAAAAATATTTGCTTATGGGGACAAAAAGTAACAGATTTTCCCCTTCCTCGGCATTTATTTTTTAGGACACCAGCAATACCTTTCAATCCAAATGTAGCCATTAACTAGCTGTGTGACTTTAGGTAACTCACTTCCTTTCTCTGGACCTCTGTTTCATCATCTGTGACTTCACAGTCATTTATTGAGCCTCAATCCACCCAAGACATTATGATAAGCACTACAGGGGACACAACATCAATCACTTACACCCTACTCCTGAGCACAAAGCCTTATGAAAGAAATAAGGTATGTTAACAAATAACATTGTAAGGGAGGTCAAAACACGAAGCTGAAAAAAAGCACCGAAAAAGAGGTGTAAATAAAGTGCTGCCTAAGGTGGTTATGCAGGGAACAATCATTTCTGGTATGGAAGTCAAAGGCTTCATTCAGAGAACGCATTTAGGCAGGGTCTCAGATGGGATCTGGATAGGAGATGGAGGTAGGGGTGGAATGGAGAGGAATTACTAGGGAAGGGAAATGTGATAAGAAAAAACATAAAGTGGACAAAAAGGTGGGATGAGTCCACCAAGAGAAGGGGAAGAAATCTGAATTTGAAATAATCTGAAAAGTGGTAAAACCTAATATTAGGGAGTTCCCTGGTGGCCCAGTGGTTAGGATTTGGCGCTTTCACTGCTGTGACCGGGTTCAATCCCTGGTCGGGGATCTTGGATCCCACAAGCCATGCAACACAGCCACAAACAACAAAAAAACCCCTAACATTAGAAAGGCAACTAGAAGAGAGACTGCGTAAGACCTAGAAACAAATGTAAAATGAAGGTGTTATACTAAGCTTAGACCATACCTGCTCTAACATGCAGGGACAACGTGGTCTGCTTTGTCTATCGAATAGGGATAATCATCCTTACCCACCTCAGAGACCAGTCTGCTGATACATGCATGAACCATGATTTTATGAACTGTTAAAGAGACCAGAGCCCCTTACTTTGACACCTACATGAACTCAGACCTGGGATACACTTCTCCTATGGAAAATGTCTTTTTTCTATATTGCTAAACTGCTCTTAGGATTTCACTGGATTGCCATCATCGACAATATAAACATGTATGAAGTAAAATAAACATGATTTTCAAAATCAAAAATCACACAGTCTTAGATATGAAAAGGACTTTTAGAACATCTAATTCAACCTCCTCCTTACAGATGGGAAACAAAGATGCACAGTTTTTTCCTTTATACAGTACCATTTTTAAGTTATGAATAAATCTAATCTCCCATGGTACAGAAATAGCCCTAGTTTTATGGAACTACAAAAAATTACAAATGATAAAAACAAGGTGCCTTTAAGACTCTTCATTTTTATGTTACATTTAATTTTAAATAATTGCAGTTTTCCTTCCCAAACCACTTAGAACTTCCAATTACATTTAAAATAAATTCATTCTTCCGTAAACCAAAGCAAAGTTGGCCCGATCGATACTGGTAATTTTACTTTATTCACAAAATAACTTTAAACGGTAGACTTGGTTACCTTCAATTATTGTTATTTTGTTCTGTTCTTATTGGGGATACTGTGTTTTCTTTCAGAAAACCATATTTTAGATTTTAAAGAGTAAAAAAATAAAACAATGTTTAGGCAAAGTGAATTCATGTTTAAAGATTAAGTCCTGCTTTAGACAAAATAGTGCAATGCTTCTAGAATCCCCTGCTCAGACCAAATTCAAAAATTTGAATGATTCTAATTGATTCAGAAGCTCAAAACAAGAGATGTTCTAGCAGTTTAAGCCTAACACCATTCTCCTCTATCTGTGAGGGCACTTTGCCTCACGATAGAATAAGGCATATAAGTTAACCGTATTCATCGTGTCTGATGAACAACTTTAATTGAACCAAATAATAAGTAGTAATAAAAACTACATTTCTGAGGTGCAGTTACCTTTAAAATAGCAGGCATGGCTACTTGCGTTGCAAATGTCTCTGCGAAGAGCTTGTAGAGAGCTTCCTTCATAAAACATGACCTATTCCTGTATCGGCTCAGTGCTTCTGAAATCTGACTCATATTGGCTCCTCCGGCAACCTGGAAAACAAGGATGTTACCAATAGGTTTCACCATTCACCTTCAAGCACAGGCTTTTAGAGCATGTCCAGTGTTTGAAACAACAGATTTTCACTTAAATGTTTTAAGAGCTTTACGATCTTGATCTCATTCAATCATAATTCTAGTAGGTAAAAGTTCTTCTCAACCTCATTTCTACGTGGTGGGTCCAGAGAGGTGATGTACATTGTTAAATGTAACAAACCAGTTAAGTGGTGGGGCCAGATTCAAATACCATCTCCCTACAACTATTTTACAGTTGAGACCGCAATTGAATACTAGCTAGCATGGAAATTCTTAAACAACCAATAAATAACCATGAATGCCCGTCTTCTAAGTACTCATATAGAATGAATTAGACAATAAAAGACAGGGAAAAGACCACGTAAAATAACTAAGATGAAAAAGGAGTTAACCAGTTATATAATTAATTAATATTAATATAATTCTTCCTTGCTACCACTGAAGTAATAATTTCAGAAAGTCTATATATAGACTTTGGGTCTGGAGGATAATGGTATCCTCCTGATCCAAACCATCAAATCAACAAAGAATGTAGATAAAACTAGATATTACGCAGTTTTCAGCATTCCTGGGTGGTGAAGAAAAGAAGAAAATAAAGGGGTAAAATTCAGGATCCTACAAAATGAAAAGAAGAAAAACAACCTCTTCTCCACTCCACCATGACCAGTAGTCACATCACCCATTGAAGAAACATCACATCATTAAATTGACAGAAGAGTGCTTTTGAATTAGGAACCCTGTCAATTAAATGCCAATAAATAAAAAGATTCAAACCAATTCCATAAAAAGCTACTGTAAGAAATTTTTTAAAAAGCAAATCTACACATTTCAGCTGAGAAAAACTCTTCCCATAAACCAACAACAAATCAGAAGAAAATTGTAACACAGCACTTTAAACTGAATTAAATCTTCTTAATCAGCATGTTAGGATGTGAAAAAATACCTTCAACAGAAAGATGAAACAAGGGATGATTCAACTCAGGAAAAAGACAAAATCATATCAAACAAAAATTAAGTTACAAAGTACCCAAGGAAGAGTAGAGTTGAATAAATATTTAGTAAGGAGAAGAAATGCAAGAAATAAACAAGAGAAAGAAATTTTAAGAAAGAAGAAGTAAAAAGGAATCTAAGATTGAGTGCTTATATAGAAAAAAATAAAGAAGATCCAACACACATATACTTGAAGTTCCTGGGGAAGAAATGAACTAATATTTAAAACTACTACCAAGAAAAATTTTCCAGAAATAAAAAAAAGACCTAAATCAATACACTGAAATAATCTACCAGCTACCTGGGAAAACTGACCCAGATCAAGTCTGAGACATAGCACAATATAAGGATTAAATTTAAAGATAAAGAAAAAAATCTTCAGGGCCTTCACATAAAAAGATCAAACTTAGAGAATTAGACTGTCATCAGACTTAACAAGCAACACACAAAGCAATGTAACAGTGGACAAGCATTTTCAAGAAATAAGGAAAAAAAAAGTAAACAAAGGAGTTTATATCCATGCTTGCAACTTCTAGAGGAAGTATGGACAGTAAATTGTGGTTCAATTCCATAAATTTCAGCTCTTACCACAATAACCGCTGTCCATGCCCCAACCTACCCCCCAGCCACCAGCACGTGCTCCTAGAGCTCCCTGCACTTAGCTTGTGAGAGCCCATGTGGGAAAACGGACCTTGCCCTCCAAATATCAGGGATCCGTGCTCTGATCACTGCTTGCTGCTTCTGATAACAGGTACAAAGAGGTGAGCAGCCACTGTTGTTGCACCCCCACCCCACCAACTGTTCAAAGCCCCTCTCCCACAGCTAAAGTGACTTCCAGGGGATTTAAAGGGCTGCCCCTTCATTGTTTTCTTTTTCCCCTTTTAAGAGACATTAATGCCTATGACATTCAAAACAACTGCATATACAAAGGAAATTCCGAAGTGACTGCACATGCCCAGGAAAAGGCTCAAAAAAGACCTAAAAAGACCTTAAAGTTTATACTTCAGGCTGATCCTCAACACAGACCCAAAATACAAAAACAGTAACAAAAGCATCAAAACCCAGGAAAGGAAAAAAACCTGATTTCCAGAGTTTCCATATTACTAGTTTCAAATGTCCAGTTTTCAACAAAAACAAATCATAAAGCATATTAAAAAACAGGAAAGCATAGTCCATTCAATAGGAAAAAGAAGAAAAATCAAAAGACACAGTCCCTGGGGCTTCCCTGGTGGTGCAGTGGTTAAGAAACCGCCTGCCAATGCAGGGGACACGGGTTTGAGCCCTGGTCCGGGAAGATCCCACGTGCCGCGGAGCAACTAAGCCCATGCGCCACAACTACTGAGCCTGTGCTCTAGAGCCCACGAGCCACAACTACTGAGCCCACGTGCCACAACTATTGAAGCCCGCACACCTAGAGCCCGTGCTCCGCAACAAGAGAAGCCACCTCAATGAGAAGCCCATGCACCGCAATGAAGAGTAGCCCCCGCTCGCCACAACTAGAGAAAGCCCACGCGCAGCAACAAAGACCCAATGCAGCCAAAATTTTTTTTAAATTAATAGTTTTTAAAAATCTTACAATAAAAAAATCAACTCAAAATGGATCAAAGACTTAAATTTATGACCTAAAACTATAAAACTCTTACAAGGAAACATGGGGCAAAATCTTCACAATATTATACTTGGCAGTGATTTCTTGGATATGACACCAAAGGAACAAGCAACAAAAGAAATGCAGACAAACCGAACTTCATGAAAAAAGACAACCCAGAGAATGGGAGAAAATATTTGAAAATCATATATCATAAGGAATTAATATCCAGACTACATAAAGAACTCCTATAACTCAACAACAACAACAACAAAAAACCCCAAGCAACCTGATTTAAAAGTTGGCAAAGGACTTCATCAGACGTTTCTTCAAAGACATACCAATGGTCAATAAGCTCCTTATAAAAGATGCCCAATATCACTGATCAGTATAGAAATGCAAATCAAAACTTCAAGGGATTTCTCTGGCGGCCCAGTGGTTAAGACTCCGTGCTTCCAATGCAAGAAGTGTCGGTTCGATCCCTGGTCAGGGAATTAAAATGCCACAGGCCGCACAGTACAGCCAAAAAAATAAATTAAATAAAAATTAAAAGGGTTATCCCTGTAAAAAGAAAAAAAACTTCAATGAGATACCACCTCACATCCATTAGTATGGCTACTACTAAAAAATTTAAAAACAGGGATTTCCCTGGTGGCGCAGTGGTTAAGAATCCACCTGCCAATGCAGGGGACATGGGTTTGATCCCTGGTCTCAGAAGATCCCACGAGCCATGGAGCAACTAAGTCCGTGCGCCAAAACTACTGAGCCTGTGCTCTAGAGCCCACGAGCCACAACTACTGAAGCCCATGTGCCCTAGAGCCCGCATGCCACAACTACTGAGCCCACACACCACAACTACTGAGCCCATACACCACAACTACTGAAGCCCACACACTCTAGGGACCACGTGCCACAATTACTGAGCCCGCGTGCTGCAAATACTGAAGCCCACACGTCTAGAGCCTGTGCTCCACAACAAGAGAAGCCACCGCAATGAGAAGCCTGTGCACCGCAACAAAGAGTAGCCCCCCGCTTGCCACAAATAGAGAGAAAGCCTGTGTGCAGCAACAAAGACCCAACCCAGCCAAAAATAAATTTAAAAAAAAATTTTTAAAGTCTCTGCTGCTATTTACAATAGCCAGGACATGGAAGCAACCTAAGTGTCCATCGACAGATGAATGGATAAAGAAGATGTGGCACATATATACAATGCAATATTACTCATCCATAAAAAGAAACAATAAAATTGAGTTATTTGTAGTGAGGTAGATGGACCAAACTCTGTCATACTGAGTGAGGTAAGTCAGAAAGAGAAAAACAAATACCGTATGCTAACACATATATATGGAATCTTAAAAAAAAAAAAAAAAGGTTCTGGAGAACCTAGGGGCAGGAGGAATAAAGACACAGATGTAGAGAATGGACCTGAGGACATGGGGAGGGGGAAGGGTACGCTGGGATGAAGTGAGAGAGTGGCATGGACATATATAGACTACCAAATGTAAAACAGCTAGCTAGTGGGAAGCAGCCGCATAGCACAGGGAGATCAGCTCGGTGCTCTGTGTCCACCTAGAAGGGTGGGATAGGGAGGGTGGGAGGGAGACGCAAGAGGGAGGGAATATGGGGATATATGTATACATATAGCTGATTCACTTTGTTATACAGAAGAAACTCACACATCATTGTAAAGCAATTATACTCCAATAAAGATGTTAAAAAATTTTTTAATGTCTCTGCTAACCTTTAAGAAATAAAAAATTTAAAATTAAAAAACAGAAAATAATATATGTTGGCAAGTATGTGAAGAAAACGGAAGATTTGTGCACTGTTAGTGGGAATGTAAAATTGTACAGCTGCTGTATGTATGGCAGTTCCTCAAAAAATTAATAGAATTACCATAAGATCTAGCAATTCCACTTCAGGATATATACCAAAAGAATTAAAAGCAGGGTCTTGGGAGTTCCCTGGTGGCCTAGTGGTTAGGATTCCGGGCTTTCACTGCTGTGGCCCAGGTTCAATCCCTGGAACTGAGATCCCTCAAACTGTGTGGCACAGCAAAAAAAAAAAAAAAAAAAGGCAGGGTCTCAAAGAGATATTTGTATACCCATGCTTGTAACAACATTATTCACAATTACCAACACAGCCAAAACACGGAAGCAACCCAAGTGTTCATCGACGATAAACAGACAAGCAAAATGTGGTAAACACATAATGGATGTTATTCAACCTGAAAAAGGCAGTATGCCACAACACGGATGAACCCTGAGGACGCTATGCAAAGTGAAATGAGCCAGTCACAAAAAAACAAGTACTGTATGATTCCACTTACATGAGGTAGTTAGAATAGTCAAATTCATAGGACAAAAGTAGAATGGGAGTTGTCAGGGTCCAGGGAGAAGGAGTCATGGGAGTTAGTGTTTAATGGGTATAGAATTTCAGCCTTACAAGATGAAAAGAGCTATGAAGATGAATGGTGGTGACGGTTGAACAAAACTATGAATGTATGTAAAACCACTGAACTATACACTTAAAAAAGATTAAAATGATAAATTTTATGTTATATGTATTTTACCATCCCCTCCCAAAAAACGGGAACATGAACTGACACAGGATGATTTCCAAGACATACTGCTTAGTAAAAAAAGCAAAGTGTAGAGTACATATACTATGCTACCTATTGTGTAAGAAGAGGAAATTTTAAAACCTAAATATATGTGCTTAGTACTTTGACTATACTCTCAGTCAAGAGGGAAAAGAAAGAACTGCAAACATATCTTCAACTTTTTTTAGTAGGTTTGTGTTTCAAAGTAGTATAGGTGTGGGACTTCCCTGGTGGCGCAGTGTTTAAGACTCTGCGCTCCAATGCAGGGGGCCCGGGTTCAATCCCTGGCCAGGGAACTAGATCCCACATGCATGCCGCAACTAAGAGTTCGCATGCCACAACTAAGGAGCCCTCCTGCTGCAACTAAGACCCGGCGCAACCGAATAAATAAATAAATAATGTAGGAGAAAAAAACAAGTAGTATAGGTGTAGCAACTCTGAAACTATTTTATATGTGTTGTAGGATTAAGCAAATGTGCTGACGCTTTTGAGAGCCAAAGTTCTCACTGTGGGAAAGAGAGATACAAATACAGAATGTGGAAGGGCAAAGAACAGTGTAAGGATGGTCATTTGGAAGTATCACTTTTAAACTTACTTCATCTATTTCTTGGCTCTGTTTGCTGAAAGGGCTTAAAAACACATCTAGTACTCAAATATTGGTTTCCTCCTAAAAGGAACCAGGGCTTCTGGGAGAAATGTCTAATTCCAAGGCCAAAACAGAGAAGTATAAGAAGCCTAGAACATCTTAGTTTGGCAGAAAGTAAAGAAGTACTCAAAATAATAACAACAACAAAAATGGGGGCATGTAAAAACTGACACGGGAGCTCTCATTGGCCAACCTGTGACAAATTGAGCATCACAATAATTAAGAAGAGTAATGAACTATAAATCATTGAAAACATCAGGAATCAATGAGTCCACATTAAGGATACGTTAGACTTGCTAAATGTAGAAAGGAGAGATGGAGTTGGAAAATCACCACTTTGCAACCACTGCAGTAAAGATTGGTTCAGGTAAGAAACATCAATGGATGCTGTATCTAGATCAGAAAGTTTGATGAGGACCAGGATATTGGCATAGTCTTCTAATATCTTATATATTGCTTATTAGTTTCAAGAGGAATAGTATTACCTATGTAGTGTAGAAACAATACAACAGTACATAGATAATATTTTATCTGCACCTGGCTATTTTACCTAGTACCTGAACAATACTTTGACCAAGTGATGAAAAGTAACTTCACTAACGAGGGGCACTGTGTGCTTCATGTTGTAATATACTTGAGAAGGACACAACATCCCTTACGTGGTATTCCGGGCAGAGATGGGAGAACCTGAATATAATTATGAGGAAGCATCAGACTAACCCAAAATGAGGAGTATTCTTCAAAAAAGCCAACGAAACAATTCTGGTCTGTATTCTTCAAAAATATCAATGTAACAAAGGACAGGAAGGACTAAGGAACTCTTCTAGTTTAAATTATAAAGAAATATGACAACTGAATGCAAAAATAATCCTGAACTAAAAGGAAAAATATTTTATAAAGGGCATTACTGGGATAATATATATAGTAGATTATATAAAAGTATTGCATCAATGCTAAATTTCCTGAAATTTGATAGCTGCACCGTGGTCATCCTTGAGACTATCCTTGCTCTCGGAAGAGTCCAAGAGACTATCCTTGCTCTAGGATATACAAACTAAAGTATGTTAAGGGGCAGAGGGGCATGATGTATGCAACCTACCCTCAAGAAAAAAACTCTGTGCGTGTGTGTGTGCACGTGTGTGTACACGTGCATGTAGAGATAAAATATGAAAAAACAAATTTGGAAAAATGTTTAAAGTTAGTGATCTGCAAAGTTAAAAATTATTTAAAAATAATTTTTCAAGTACTATACATAGATCAACTTGCCCAACGACCTACACATTCTTAAGCATCTAAACGCTGGATATATTCTAAAATTTTTTAAAGTTTTGTGATCATCCAGATGTCAGAGCTGAAAGAGAAACAAAGGATAAGCCATAGTAAGGCTAAGCGGAAGACCAGATAGATGCTGCATCACCCTCTCTCTCTAGGGCTTCCTATAGATGTCATTACAAAACAATCCTCAAAAGGGATTCTTGCTACGCCCCACCAGTGGATCAACAAGGATTTCTTAGCAAATGAAAATGTTACATGGCTTTTAATACTAATGGCGGGTGCCCTTTCCACCCATTTTAAAGCAATTAAGTACACGTTGCCCACTCTAATACTGGGTGCAGGAAATAACACATACTTGTTCTGTTAGGTTTTCACTAACACTTAATTTTATCCATTTTAATTTAAGCAAACTTTTGATTAACCCAAACAAAAATACTTAGTATATTTTGCATCTGATTCTAGCAATACATATTTCTCTTAAATATAAGATTTTCTGAAACACACCTTTTAAACTTACCATACCTTACACTCCATGTAAGTCTAGATTAAGAGCTTTAGAGTTTCTTAGTACTAGGAAGATTATGGTCTCTCCTCTCCATCCCCACAATACCCAACACTGTATATAAGGCATAATTTAAAATTTTCAAAATAAACTAAACTTACATGTATACCAGATAAAGTTTACTGAAAGAAGACTTCTCTCATTTTCTTTTGGTGTACCCACTTTGACAGTATCTTAACTACATGCATAATCTGCCTATAGAATATTCTAGCACTTGTCCAATATTACTGTATATATCAGGAGTTGATATGTTAAAATCTATTTTTTTAAATCACTGTGGTCTTTTGATCATTGTGACACTAAATGCCATTAATCTGAAACTGGCCTAGGTGTTCATTCGTGGTAAACATCTCTACTATACACATTTAATTTGAAAGTTCAAATTATCTATTTGTAGCCTAATGATGTAACTGATGGCTTCCACCTTCATTAACAAGCCAGAAAATTAAAAGGACTTTAAAATACAACATTTGCTATTTTCAAATCAAAAGAATAAAACTGTGAAAACAACTAATGACTGTAAATCACTTTTCTCTCTCACCCTAGGAAAAATTACATACGGTATAATTATTTTTTTAAAGGGGTTCTTTGAAAGTGGTGGTTCTGAACCTCGGCTGCACACTAGAACTACGTGCAAGCTTTCAAAATCCTGATGCCCAGAACAAGTCCCAGACCAATGAAATCAGAATCTCTGGGGAATGGGACACAAGCATCCGTGTATTTTAAAGCTTCCAAAGTGTTTATAATGTACAACTGAGGTAGAAAGCCACTGTTTTAAAAGAGAAATATTCTAGGACATAAATATTTAAATATATACTGCTTTAAAAACAGCACCATGAGAGGCTATAAACATATTCCAGCAGTGTTCAATGCTTTTTTCTTAAGACTCTTTTAAAAATTGCTTTTTGTCATACCTTCACCAAAAATGGTGTTAGGCATATTGATCACCTGCCTTATTCATTATATTTAGCTGTTACTAGAGGTGAAAACACTAGTTTTAGAGTCACAAAGACCAGGATACAAGTCTCAGCTCTATCATTTAATACTTCTATGACTGTGGATAAGTAGCTTAACTTCCCTGAACTTCCATTTCCTCATCCATAAAAAACAATGTGCATGACATCTGGCACATAAGAGGTAATGTATAAATGGCTCTGCTTATCATTATCAAACCAGACTCGAAGACGTGGAGGCTAGGTTATATTTTCACAACCTACCACACAGTAGCTACGCAATAATTCTTAATTAAGCTCCTCAAGAATTTTTTAATCTGTCTTTATAACCCTAATGCCTAGTACAGATTCTGATATACAACAAAAACTTAAAACTGTTTTGAACAAATGAAACAAACTTATTTCAGTAAAGAACAAACCCTCAAGTCTTGCGCTGTAGCAAAGAATTCAGAATAACCAGCATCCGTAGCCAACAGTCCCACAAATTGCATCGCAGGCCGCTGCTGTATAAACAGTTCTACAGCTTCATCAGTGATGCAACTGCCCCCAGAAATGTCCAGTGACACAATGTTAGGCAGAATATCCTTCTGCTGTAGCAAATGAAAAGCTAGTTCTGACTTGAGTTGCCTGTGATCAGAAATATCAAGGTGAAGCAGACATTTAAGTTCTCTAATGACTGCGAGAATCTGTGGTTTGGTCATGGTCAGGCATTTTAGATAGTGCATTGTGAGAGATCTGAGTCGATCCTTACAGGTAAGGAGTGCAGAGATGTTAGTGACCAGAGTATTAGAGATATCCAAGCTTTCCAGTCTGGGTAACTGAGAAACATTAGCCAGGTCTTCACTATGAAAACAAACACTGAAAACACTTAAGATGCGAAGACCGGTGAGCTGACCAAAGAACAACAGTCTTGAATTGCGAGGGATGCTTGCTGAGTCCAACAGGAGACATCGGAGGTTTTGCTGGATCCAGCTATTGCTGCAGAGTCCACTTAGGATGTCTGGAATTGAGAGGTCAGTGTGTACTGCAGTAGCATCCAGTTCAATGAGTCTGTGATGGCAGAAGGCTTGTATGAACGCAGCTGTAGATATTTTAGCTTTCTGAATACTGACCAGCTTCAGTTTCATTTGGTTGCCTCGGAAAATGCTTGCCGTTCTATCAGTCAGCTTGCCTATAAGAGAACCAGAACCAGCTTGTAATAACAACTAAATCTCATGCCTTTTCCAGGAGGTGTTATGGCCAAAGAACTTTGACAGATGCTAATAATAACAACAATAATGACCTACATTTACTGCTTACTCTGTGCCAAGCACTGTTCTAAACGCTTTACTCAAATCATCTCATTTACTCTTTACAATAACACCATAAAAGAACTATGATTATTACCATCTTATAGCCGAGGAAACTCAAGCTTAAAGAGGTTAAGTAACTTGCTCAAGGTCAAAATGTGTGGCAGAATCAAGAATCAAAACCAGTTTGACTCCAGAGCCCACAGTTTTAACCACAGCAACCTTGTTCACAGGAAAAAAAGGAACAAAATAAAAGAGGTAGGTAAGTATAGGGTATATAATATGAAAACAGCACTAATGACTACTTTTAACCAAATTAGTGCACAGCCTTTGGTAAGTCACTTACCTCTCTAGGCCTCATTTTCCTCATCTGTAAAATGAGTGGGTTATACTAGATTTCATTTAGAAACGATTTACTAAGCATCTTCTATGTGTGAGATCCCATGTTAAGTAATAGGCTCACAAGGTAATTAGACACCTGTGACCATAAAGAATTCAGTCTAGGAAGCATGTCAGGCAAATAAATTATTATAATCATGTATTATACCCAATGGTGATTCATACCAGGTACTGAATTAATACAAATGAGGTTAACATCGGGGAAGGTTTTTAAGATGGAATATCAGTTTCCCAGGGTGAAGGTGGAAGGTGGAAGAACACGCCAAAGACATGGAGGCACAGAACAACAGATTTTTCAGAATGACCCTAAGTAGATCAGTGCTACTGGCCCATAGCATGCAAGGGGAAGCATGGCTGGAAATGAAAGTGGAGAGGGAGGTAAAAGGCAGATGGGGCCCGTAAACAAAGCTAGGAAACGCAGACATTTACCCTATAAACAATAATGAACAACTCAAAATTTTTAAGCAAAAAAAAAAATGGTCATAATTATTTTTTTAGAAAGACCAATTATGTGATAATGTAACAAGAATTAGGATGGTATTTGATGGGAGTGAGATGGGGCAAGAGATTATTAATGATTTTAATGATGAGAAATGAAAGTTTAAACTGACAGAACCTGGTAGCTGAATGGACTAGGGGAAAGAATTGAGGAAAAAGGTGTATAAGATGGTTCACAAGTTCCCAGTTTGAGTTGGGCTGTGCGACTAAGATAGGAAAAAGGAAACCCCAATATTCAAGGCTTTGAGAAGGAACTTATTACATTTATTCAACAAATATCAAGTGCTCAAGGTATGCAAAGTGCTATGCTACAAGCTGAGGACGGTGAATGAGACAGACATGGCTCCTGCCATCTTGGAGTTTATTTACATCCTAGAAGAGAACACAGATACAAAAGAATATAAAACAAGCAGAATACTACTAACATTAAAATGTAGTCAGTGTTCTAAAGGAAACAAACAAGACAAGAATATAATACAGGGGTGGGGAAAAGGAGGAGGAGGACAAGAATCTTCTGTCTCTCGGTGAGGTATGAGGAGGCGACATTTAAGCTGAGACCAAAAGGATATGAAAAGCAAAGGCAGCTGTCATTCCAGACACGAGGAGCTAAAGACCTGATATGGGAAAGAGCTTGGCTTTTTCTGTGAAATGAGAGAAAAGCAGTGTGGCTGAAGCATAGTTGGTGAACGGGATACCAGCATCTGACAGGTTAGAGACAGAGGCAAGAGTCAGACCTTACAGGCCAGGGTAAATAATTGGCATTTTATCCTAAGTACAAGGAGAAGCCTTTAAAGAGTGACAGAGGTGTAGACAGATCTGATTAAGGTATAAGAGGACTGCTCTCTGCCACGTGGCAGAGCTTGGCGAGGGGCAGAATTGGAGGTAAGGAAACCATTTGGGAGACCAGGGGAGAAGTAAGAGAAAGGTGTCAATGACAGGGGCTAGGAGGAAAAGAACGTTTGAGATATGTATTTTGAAGACAGAAAATGTGTCAACAGAATCAAGGGTAGAGGGAGGAGGAATGAAAACTGACTCCTAAGTCACTGAACAACTAGGAAGATTTTGAGATGGGAGGAAATGGCAGTGTAGCAGATGCTGTGATGGGACACCAGATCGCATTTAGAGATAAAGGACTTACTACTTGAGCTGCTGGGAATGCCACCAACTGACAGCCCTCATCTATGGGGACTGCATCAGCTGAAAAGAACTGCTTCACCCATGGTCATACCACTTTCCCATGGAAACCCATATCCCAAGACTGTGTTGGGAGGTATAAAGATCCAGCCCTCACGCCCTAATGCAACACAGATCTGAGTAGTTATTCCACCTTCAGGACTTCCCATAAGATCAGCCGAGGTCTTCTCAGTTCTACATATTTTAAATCTAAAAGACTGAAGCATAAATATTTGGAATTAATCAGCATAGAGACAGTATTTAAAACCATGGGAATGGATGACATGAGAATGTAAGAAGAAGAGGAACAAGGACCAAGTATCAAAAAGCATCTACATTTAAGATCAAATAGCAGAATGAGGAATAATAGCCATGATAATAACTAACCATTTTTGAATGTTCTGAACATTTTAGATATACTAACTCCCTGAATCCTCATAAAACCCAATGAAGTATGTATTACTATTAGTCATACTTTACAGATGAGATGAGGCATAAGGAACTTAAGTAACTGGCCCATGGAAATGGTGGCAAACCCAAATAGTCTGGCACCAAAGCCAGAACTCTTACCCTTTCTGTACTACCCTTCAAGGGAAGCTAGATGAGCAGACAGATAAGCAGCAGCCACTGAGGTAGAAGAAAAACCAAAAGAATATGATGATTCAGCAGCCCAGAGAAGAGTTATAAGATATGTAAGAGGCATCCTGGATATGTGGTTCTGGAGCTTAGAATAAAGACCTGCACTGGAAACTCTGGGAAATTCAAGTAGAAGTGGTAACTAAATCAAACAAAATTACCCAGGTAGTGTACAAAGTGAGAAGGGTACCCAGGACAGAAACTTGAGGAACATAAAACATTTAACATACATATGGAGAAACAGAGGCATACAAACGAAACTGTGGAATAGTAACCAAGGATAAAATTAAAAAACAGAAAAACAAAGTACTCTGGGCTTCCCTGGTGGCACAGTGGTTGGGAGTCTGCCTGCCGATGCGGGGGACACGGGTTCGTGCCCTGGTCCGGGAGGATCGCACAGGCCGTGGAGCGGCTGGGCCCGTGGGCCATGGCTGCTGAGCCTGCGCGTCTGGAGCCTGTGCTCCACAACGGGAGAGGCCACAACAGTGAGAGGCCCATGTACCGCAAAAAAAAAAAAAAAAAAAAAAACAAAGTACTCTAAGCCAGGAAAGTTGAGAGTAATAAACATTGTCATACATACAAGAACCCCTGATGATTTAATAAATCTAGGAAGGTAACAATCATCTATGGCCACCAAAAGTGAAAAACAACCAGGCAATCAGACTTTATTCACACCCTTAAGAAGTATAGGGCACTACCAAACATCAAACCTGAATCTGATCAAGACTCTACCTCTAATTTCCAATTTATAGGAATTACAAGGATCAGAGAAACATGTCAAATCATTGCAGTCAAACAATGGTAAAGTCCAGATTGTAGGACACTTTACAAAACAAATGACCAGTTTCTTTAAAAAAAAAGAAAATAACTGGAAAATCCCAAAATACATGGAGATTAAACAACACACTTCTAAATAACATGAGTCAAAGAAAAAATGTGAAGAGAAACTGAAAAATATTTTGAATTAAATGAAAATGAAAACACAACTTATCAATATCTATGGGATGCAGCAAAGGCAGTGCTTAGAGGGAAAGTTATAGCCCTGAATGCATATATTAGAAAAGAAAGATCTAAAATCAATAATCTAAGTTCCCATTTTAGGAAACTAGAAAAAGAAGAGCAAATTAAATTCAAAGTAAGCAGAAGAAAAGAAATAAGAATTAGAGCAGAGAGAGTAACATCAGCAACATGGCAGAGTGAAACACTACCGTGGTCTCTCCCCTTCAGTCTACAACCAATAAAACATCCATCCACAATGCACATATAAACAGCTCATACAACTCAATATCAAAAAAACAAACAACTCGATTTAAAAATGGGCAAAGACCTGAAAAGACATTTCTCCAAAGACATGCATATGCCCAACAGGCATAAAAAAAGATGCTCAACATCCCTAATCACCAGGGAAATGCAAATCAAAACCACAATGAGATGTCACCTCATACCTGTCAGAATGGCTATCATCAAAAAGAACACAAATAACAAATGTTGGCGAGGATGTGGAGAAAAGGGAACCCTCATATGCTGTTGGGTGGGAATGTAAATTGGTACAGCTACTGGGGAAAACATCATGGAGGTTTCTCAAAAAAACTGAACTACCACATGACCAGCAATTCCACTCCTGGGTATACATCCGAAGAAAAAATGAAAACACTAATCTGAAAAGATACATACATCCCAATGTTCATAGCAGCATTATTTACAACTACCAAGATACAGAAGCAGGGCTTCCCTGGTGGCGCAGCGGTGAAGAATCTGCCTGCCAATGCAGGGGACACGGGTTCGAGCCCTGGTCCAGGAAGATCTCACATGCTGTGGAGCAACTAAGCCCGTGCACCACAACGACTGAGTCTTCACTCTAGAGACCACGAGCCACAACTACTGAAGCCCACGCGCCTAGAGCCTGTGCTCCGCAACGAGAAGCCACCACAATGGGAAGCCCATGCACTGCAACAAAGAGTAGCTCCTGCTCTATGCAACCAGAGAAAGCCCGCGCGCAACAACTAACACCCAACGCAGCCAAAAATAAATAAATAAAATTAAAAAAAAAATAAAAAAAGACACGGAAGCAACCGAAGTGTCCGTCAACAGATGAATGGATACCAGCCTTACAACAAATGTTAAATGAACTTCTCTAGGTGGGAAACACAAGAGAAAAAGACCTACAAAAACAAAC